CACACAGACACACACACACACACACAGTAACACACACACAGTAACACACACAGTGACACACACAGTAACACACAGTGACACACACAGTAACACACACACACACACACACACAGACACACACAGTAACACACACACAGTAACACACACAGTGACACACACACACACAGTAACACACACACAGTAACACACAGTGACACACACAGTAACACACACAGTAACACACACAGTAACACACAGTGACACACACAGTAACACACACACAGTAACACACAGTGACACACACAGTAACACACACACAGTAACACACACAGTACACACAGTAAACACACAGTACACACACAGTAACACACAGTAACACACACAGTAACACACAGTAACACACACAGTAACACACACAGTAACACACAGTAACACACACACAGTAACACACACACAGTAACACACACAGTAACACACACAGTAACACACACAGTAACACAGTAACACACACAGTAACACACACAGTACACACACAGTAACACACACAGTAACACAGTAACACACACAGTAACACACACAGTACACACACACAGTAACACACACACAGTAACACACACACAGTAACACACACAGTAACACACACACAGTAACACACACAGTAACACACAGTAACACACACAGTGACACACACACAGTAACACACAGTAACACACACAGTAACACACACACAGTAACACACACAGTAACACACACAGTAACACAGTAACACACACACAGTAACACACACAGTAACACAGTAACACACACACAGTAACACACACACAGTAACACAGTAACACACACAGTGACACACACACAGTAACACACACAGTAACACACACACACAGTAACACACACAGTGACACAGTAACACACACAGTAAAACACACACACACAGTAACACACACACAGTAACACAGTAACACAGTAACAGTAAAAACACACACAGTAACACACAGTAACACACAGTAACACACACAGTAACACACACACACACACACGCGCACAACACACTGCACGCACACACACACACAGTAACACACACAGACACACACACACACACACAGTAACACACACAGTAACACACACAGTGACACACACAGTAACACAGTGACACACACAGTAACACACACACACACACACGCGCACACACACGCACGCACACACACACACAGTAACACACACAGACACACACACACACAGTAACACACACACACAGTAACACACAGTGACACACACAGTAACACACACAGTAACACACACAGTAACACACAGTGACACACACAGTAACACACACACAGTAACACACAGTGACACACAGTAACACACACACAGTAACACACACAGTGACACACACAGAACACACAGTGACACACACAGTAACACACACAGTAACACACAGTAACACACAGTAAACACACACAGTAACACACACACAGTGACACCACACAGTAACACACACACAGTAACACACACACAGTAACACAACAGTAAACACACAGTAACACACACAGTAACACAGTAACACACACAGTAACACACACACAGTAACACACACCGTAACACACACAGTAACACAGTAACACACACAGTAACACACACAGTAACACACACACACAGTAACACACACAGTAACACACACACAGTGACACACAGTAACACACCACAGTGACACACACAGTAACACCACACACGTAACACACACACAGTAACACACACACAGTAACACACACAGTAACACACACACACAGTAACACACACAGTAACACACACACAGTAAACACACACAGTAACACACACACAGTGACACACACGTAACACACACAGTAACACACACACAATGACACACACAGTAACACACACAGTAACACACACAGTAACACACACCACAGTAAGACACACAGTAACACACAGTAACACACACACAGTAACACACACAGTAACACACAGTAACACCACACACAGTAACACACACACAGTAACACACACAACAGTAACACACACACAGTAACACAGTAACACACACAGTGACACACACACAGTAACACACACACAGTAACACACACACACAGTAACACACACAGTGACACACACACAGTAACACACACACACAGTAACACACACACACAGTAACACACACACAGTAACACACACAGTAACACACACACACAGTAAACACACACACACTAACACACACACAGTAAACACACAGTAACACACACACAGTGACACACAGTAACACACACAGTAACACACACACAATGACAACACAGTAACACACACAGTAACACACAGTAACACACACACACAGTAACACACACACAGTAACACACACACAGTAACACAGTAACACACACAGTGACACACACACAGTAACACACACACAGTAACACACACACACAGTAACACACACAGTAACACAGTAACACACACACAGTAAACACACGTAACACACAGTAACACACACAGTAACACACACACAGTAACACACACAGTAACACACACACACACACACACACACACACACACACACACACACACACACAGTAAACACACACACACACACACACACACACACAGTAACACACACACACAGTAACACACACAGTGACACACACAGTAACACACAGTGACACACACAGTAACACACACAGTAACACACACAGTAACACACAGTGACACACACAGTAACACACACAGTAACACACACAGTAACACACAGTGACACACACAGTAACACACACACAGTAACACACAGACACACACAGTAACACACACACAGTAACACACACAGTGACACACACAGTAACACACAGTGACACACACAGTAACACACAGTGACACACACAGTAACACACACAGTAACACACAGTAACACACACAGTAACACACACAGTAACACACAGTAACACACACAGTAACACACACAGTAACACACAGTAACACACACAGTAAACACACAGTAACACACACAGTAACACACACAGTAACACACAGTAACACACACAGTAACACACACAGTAACACACACAGTAACACACAGTAACACACACAGTAACACACAGTGACACACACAGTAACACACACAGTAACACACACAGTAACACACAGTGACACACACAGTAACACACACAGTAACACACACAGTAACACACAGTGACACACACAGTAACACACACACAGTAACACACAGACACACACAGTAACACACACACAGTAACACACACAGTGACACACAGTGACACACACAGTAACACACACACACAGTAACACACACACAGTGTAACACACACAGTAACACACACAGTAACACACACAGTAACACACAGTAACACACACAGTAACACACACAGTAACACACACAGTAACACACACAGTAACACACTTGCGCGGCTGTCTCTGTGGGTTTTTTTCATCGTCTTGCTGACGACCTTCACTGTTGGGACCCGCAGCAGAGAAACGGGTTCAAGTGCAGATGAGCCAAAAGTTTCTCCAGATGAACAGAAACAAAAGTGAAGTTATTATCATTGGACCTAATAATAGATCTAGATCTAGAGTTTAATGGAGAGAGCACTATAGAGTCGATGCACAGCTTCTTCCAACTTAAACCAGCGATCGGCTGGGACCTGGGCCTCCAGCGCCACATAAAGACGGTCACAAAGTCGGCCTTCTGTCACCTGAACAGCATCTGGAGGTCTCAGAGAGAAACTGGTTCATCTGAAGTGGATTTGATTCCTGCAGCAGCTGCTGGAGTTCTGACCAGAACCAGAACCAGGAGGATGGAGCACATGGACCCGGTTGGTTCTACAGTCCTTCACTGGTTAGTTTATGAATCACTGAGCAGCTCAGCAACACATTAAAGATCTGCTGTTGTCACAGCAACCTTCCAGACCCATCAGGTTCCGGTTCTGGTTCTGCTCTGCATCAGAACCAGAACCAAACAAGGAGAAGCAGCGTTCAGCTTCTATGCACCACAGATCTGGAACAAACTTCCAGAAACTGAAGAACAGCCGAAACACTGAGATCCTTCCAGACTGAAACCAGCTGGTTGGTTTTTATTTGAAATGTAATCAATAATCAGTTTATCGACGGCTTTTGACTTAATGTCAGGTTGGAGTGTTGATTCTGTGATGCATGACTTTGTTTTTATGATGTAAAGATCCATAAACGCCTTGCTGCTGAAATGTGCTGTTCAGGTAAAACACACACACCCCTCAGCCCCTCCAATGTGACCCCGCCCCCAGGTTCTGTTCCCTGTTCAGCTTGGCGGCCCGGTGGACCGGCGCCGCCTGGACCGCGCCCTGTCGGACTTGGACGTCACGCTGCAGCGGCTGGAGTCCATGTTCCTGCGGCGCCAGCCGTTCCTCTGTGGCGATGACATCACCTTGGCTGACCTGCTCGCCATCTGCGAACTGATGCAGGTGAGCTGGTGTCTGGAGAGAAGGGGCGGGGCTTGGCCGGTTCTGAGCGCGCTCACTGTGTCTGCAGCCTCTGGGAAGTGGGCGGGACATCCTGAAGGACCGCCCCCAGTTGCACCGCTGGAGGAGCCGCGTCCAATCAGCCGTCGGCGAGTCGTTTGATGAGGCTCATGCCGTGCTGTTCGCAGTCAGAGACCGCCGCCGTGCCAGGCTGTGACATCACCAAGGGGGCGGAGCCTCTTCATGAAGACCCGAGCACACTGGACGCCGATTGGCCGACCACGTAACAGACAGTGTCTGCCTGGCCCGGTTCTGATGAATAAAGATAATTTTCTCCGTCTGTGGTTCTGATTCTTCACCTGAAACTGCAGTGGCGTCCAAACTAGACCCGGTTCCGACTGGATCCGGTTCCAATAACTAGTTTCTTCGATAATTTTAAGGTCTGAATTTAGATTAAATTATAAATAATCTGGGTTAAATGTTTTACTGTCTGGTTCTGAGACCCGGACCGGATCGATCCTCAGAACCAGACCCAATCAGTTCAGACCGGTCCTGGTTGTCTTCAATGATTTCATTATTGAAATAAAAACACTGCAGATGGTTTTTATGGTTCTGTTTATTCTGGAACCGGACCGGTTCTACAGCACTAGAACTTCCTCTTTGCAGGATGTTGAAGATGCTCCTCTTCCTCCTCTCCTCTTCCTCGTTTCCGATTTAAACTTCCTGCTGCGGATGGACCCGCCTCCTGCAGGGGGAGGAGCCGGGCTGCCGTAAGGGGCGGAGCTTCATGACGCATGAAGGTGTGGTCGTGTGTGGTTACCGTGGAAACAGCAGCAGATGGATCTTCATCAGCAGCAGCATCTCCTCTTCCTCCTGCCGGCCTCATGAGCCTGTGAGCCGTCTGCAACATCAGCTGGTCCTGAAGCACAGGAGAGCTGTTGACCACGCCTCCCAACAAGCCCCTCCCATCAGGCCCCGCCTATCAGGCCCCGCCTATCAGGCCCCTCCCAACATGGAAAGGAGGAATTAGAGCAGGGGTGTCAAACTCCAGTCCTGGAGGGACGCTGTCCTGGAGGGACGCTGTCCTGCAGTCTTTAGATGTGCCTCAGGTACAAAACACAGGAATGAAATGGTTTAATTACCTCCTCCTGGTTCTCAGAGCCTCAATGACCTAATTATGTTATTCAGGTGCAGCAGAGGCTCATCTAAAAGCTGCAGGACAGCGTCCCTCCAGGACTGGATCTTGACATCCCTGATCTAGAGGAATTGGTTTTGACTAGAAGTGACTCCGGGTTCTACAGACATTCAGTACAGGAGGAAGATTCTAAGTCTTTACTTTATTTACCTTTGATTTAAATTTAACCAGCATTGGGCTTATTAGCATAATATTTTTAATATTTTTATGCTAAAACTAAATAACATCCACAAAAATGACCTACAAACATTTTAAGACATCAGTACATTAAAAAAACATCCTGTCCCATCTGAGTCGGTGTATTGATAAAGTGGCTGCAGTTCTCCTACCTGCAGCCAGGGGTGCTGCAGAGCTTCATCCACAGTCATCCTCAGCGTGGGGTCGACCACCAGCAGCTTCCTCACCATGTCTTTGGCTGAAACACCAGAGACCGTCTCAGCGTCAGCTCCCGGGCAGCCCGGCCCCGGTTACCATGCTTACCTTGGTTGGAGACGCGCCTCCACTTGGACGGGACCATGGTGAATTCCCCCCGGACGATCTGCTCCGTCACCGAGCGCTGGCTGAAGCTCTCGTGGAACGGCGTGTAGCCGCTGAGGCTGCCAGAGACACCGGGTTACACCGGGTCACACCGGGTTACACCGTGTCACACCGGGCCGGCATGGCGACGAGGGGGGCGGAGCCTACCAGACGAATAGAAGCACGCCCAGGCTCCAGGCGTCCACTGCCAGCCCGTAACCGGTGCTGGAGGCGTGGGTGAAGACCTCAGGGGCCAGGTAGGATGGAGTCCCACACAGCGTCCGCATCAGGGCCGCCTCCTCCAGGATCCTGGACTGGTTGAAATCCGTCACCTTCACAAGGGGGCGGAGCCACAAGAGGGCGGGGTCACAGGAAGGCAAAGCGGACGGCCTGTAGTGGGACGAGGAAGGTGGACTCACCTTGATGAGACATTCGTCCTCACTGGAGGACAGGAGGATGTTCTCTGGCTTCAGATCTCTGTGGATGATCCCGTTGCTGTGGAGATACTACACACACACACACACACACACACACACACACACACACACACACACACACACCCACACACACACACACACACAGATTTACCTGGCAGTGTTGGTTACCATGGCAGCAGGAGCAGCAGGCCTCACCTGCACGGCGCAGAGCATCTGATAGAAGTAGAGTTTGGCAACGCCTTCATCAAGCTGTTGCTGGGACTTCACTCTGTGGAAGAGCTCACCGCCCTCCATGCTGGGGGCGGAGTCAAAGACAAAGGGGTGGAGTCATAGAAAGTGGGCAGGGTCAGATATAAGAGGGCGGGGCACAGTAACCAAGGCTCTGCTGGGACTCACAGCTCCAGGACGATGTAGTAGCTGTCCTCCGTCTGGTAGAAGTCCTCCGTCTTTATGAGACACGGCTGCAGGAGACAGACGTCTATCAGGACAGATGAGACCCGTCTCTTCTTCTTCGTTGGTTTTACTCACATGATCGACTCTCTGCAGGATCTCAATCTCCGTCTCTGCGTTCCGTTTCGCCGTCTGTGATTGGACAAAAGGCAACACATTCACCGCAATGTTCGTGCCGCCATGTTGGTGGTTCTGAAGCGAGCAGAGACAGGAAGGAGACCTGAGAGCGAATCAGATCACAGACCCACCCCCTCAGACTGGAAGTTCTTCTTCTTGATGATCTTAACGGCAAACTTCCTGCAGGTGGAGCGTTCGAAGGCCAGTCGCACCTCACCGCAGACGCCCCTGGAACACAGCGGGGGGTTAGCGGATCCAGCTAATGCTGCAGAACCGGTCAGGGCAGCGGTGGGCAATCCTGGTCCTTAAGGGCTGGCGTCCTGCAACTCTTAGACGTCTCCCTGGTCCAACAGCTGAATCACCTCCTAAATGCAGTCCTAATGACCTCATTATTTGACTCAGGTGTGTTGAAGTAGAAACATCTAAAGGTTGCAGGAGACCTCAAGGCCTGGCTTGGGCCTCCAGAACCTTCAGCTTCTTATGAACTAGTTTTCAACCATTCTTCCAAAACCCAACAGAATGCGAAACAGCAAGAAGCAGAGCAGGGACCGGGCCAGAGCCAGAGACAGGAAGTGGAGTTCTGGACAGAGCCAGAGACAGGAAGTGGAGCTCTGGACAGAGCTAGAGACAGGAAGTGGAGCTCTGGACAGAGACAGAGACAGGAAGTGGAGCTCTGGACAGAGCCAGAGACAGGAAGTGGAGTTCTGGACAGAGCCAGAGACAGGAAGTGGAGCTCTGGACAGAGACAGGAAGTGGAGTTCTGGACAGAGACAGGAAGTGGAGCTCTAGCAGACTGACGTTCCGATCCGGCGGGTCAGCACATATTTGTCCTGCAGAGTTCTGGGTAAACTTGACTGATCGTCGGACATCAGGTCGATGAAGACGAACACTGCAGAGTACAGAGGACACGCGGTCAGTCAGGGGGAACAGACTGAGGCAGGAAGACTAGGTGAATGGTCTTGTGACTCAGGTGCGTCACCTCGGTTGCGCTGCTCAGCCAGAGAAAGGACGGCGTTATTCGTTAGAGGAAGCTTCTTGTTCTGACCAACCTTCACCCCGTCCACAAACGTCCCGTTGTTACTATAGTCCTCCACGAAGACCTCCGAGCCCTCCTAGGGACAGAGGCGTCCGATGGGGGACAAAGGGAGGACAAATGAGACTAAACCAGTTGCAGGAAAGACATGTTTCTTGCTGAAACACCGGAACCAGCAGCCCAGTTCCCACCCTGTAGATCTTGAAGTGCTTCTTGCTGTAGATCCTGAACCTCTTGGACTTCCTGTCCTGCGGGTCGTCCAGGACGTAGTCGCAGGCGGCGTCCCGTCCGAACAGGTACCGGTCCTCCACACACTCTGGAAGCACAGAGAGGCGGGTGAGTTCTGGCTCCGGCCCACTTCCGACCCGGCAGAGCTGAGGACAGTGGCTCACCGTGGCTCCGGAAACCCGGAGCCATGGGGAGCAGCCGGCCCCAGGGCTGAAGTTCTGCCTCCTCCGGGACAGAAGGCAGCGTGACAGGGAGCGTGTCCACGCTGCTCAGCGTCCCCGAGCCGCTGGACGATTGGCTGGCCGAGGTGGGACCGCTGGACGAACCAGAACCCTGCTGGGACGTGGGCCGGTTTTGGGACGGCTCCCCCTCAGCTGAGCTCTCTGCAGACATTCTGACGCCTGCAGAACAAAAGTTCTTTAGAGACTTCCTGAAATAAACATTGAAGAATGAAGTCTTTGTCTACACAGGATGGACAGCAGATGGACACTCCATGGTGGATTCTGGTCAGGAAGCTAACTTCTGAATCAACCATCTAACAATCCTCCATTTCTAGCCAATTAACTAATGTTTAAAGATTCATTGAATGAATGTTGCTTTGTGGACGAATTCTGACGATTGAAATACCAACATCTGATCATCTGATATCCAGGTCCAGGTACTCTGCCCCGCAGGGATTGCCAGTTTTAGGTGTTGTGCACCAGGGCGGGATGAAGGCACCAAGGAACCAAAGTGAGTCAAACTTGGGTTACACCAACTCATCCTGTACCATCCGGTTCATACAGTACAAGGCTGAACCTCATGGACTCTGTTCCTCATGGACGCTGTTCCTCATGGACGCTGTTCCTCATGGACTCTGTTCCTCATGGACGCTGTTCCTCATGGACGCTGTTCCTCATGGACGCTGTTCTTCATGGACGCTGTTCTTCATGGACGCTGTTCTTCATGGACGCTGTTCCTCATGGACGCTGTTCTTCATGGACTCTGTTCTTCATGGACGCTGTTCTTCATGGACGCTGTTCCTCATGGACGCTGTTCTTCATGGACGCTGTTCTTCATGGACGCTGTTCTTCATGGACGCTGTTCCTCATGGACGCTGTTCTTCATGGACTCTGTTCTTCATGGACGCTGTTCTTCATTGACGCTGTTCCTCATGGACGCTGTTCTTCATGGACGCTGTTCCTCATGGACTGGTGTTCTTCATGGACTGGTGTTCTTCATGGACTGGTGTTCTTCATGGACGCTGTTCCTCATGGACGCTGTTCCTCATGGACTGGGGTTCTTCATGGACTGGTGTTCTTCATGGACGCTGTTCCTCATGGACGCTGTTCTTCATGGACGCTGTTCTTCATGGACGCTGTTCTTCATGGACGCTGTTCCTCATGGACGCTGTTCTTCATGGACGCTGTTCCTCATGGACGCTGTTCTTCATGGACGCTGTTCTTCATGGACGCTGTTCTTCATGGACGCTGTTCCTCATGGACGCTGTTCTTCATGGACGCTGTTCCTCATGGACTGGTGTTCCTCATGGACTGGTGTTCTTCATGGACTGGTGTTCTTCATGGACGCTGTTCCTCATGGACGCTGTTCTTCATGGACGCTGTTCTTCATGGACGCTGTTCTTCATGGACGCTGTTCTTCATGGACGCTGTTCCTCATGGACGCTGTTCTTCATGGACGCTGTTCCTCATGGACGCTGTTCTTCATGGACGCTGTTCTTCATGGACGCTGTTCCTCATGGACTGGTGTTCTTCATGGACGCTGTTCCTCATGGACTGGTGTTCTTCATGGACGCTGTTCCTCATGGACTGGTGTTCTTCATGGACGCTGTTCCTCATGGACTGGTGTTCTTCATGGACTGGTGTTCTTCATGGACGCTGTTCCTCATGGACGCTGTTCTTCATGGACGCTGTTCTTCATGGACGCTGTTCCTCATGGACGCTGTTCTTCATGGACGCTGTTCCTCATGGACGCTGTTCTTCATGGACGCTGTTCCTCATGGACTGGTGTTCTTCATGGACGCTGTTCCTCATGGACTGGTGTTCTTCATGGACGCTGTTCCTCATGGACTGGTGTTCTTCATGGACGCTGTTCCTCATGGACTGGTGTTCTTCATGGACGCTGTTCCTCATGGACGCTGTTCCTCATGGACGCTGTTCCTCATGGACTGGTGTTCTTCATGGACTGGTGTTCTTCATGGACGCTGTTCTTCATGGACGCTGTTCCTCATGGACTGATGTTCTTCATGGACGCTGTTCCTCATGGACGCTGTTCTTCATGGACGCTGTTCCTCATGGACTGGTGTTCCTCATGGACTGGTGTTCTTCATGGACTGGTGTTCTTCATGGACGTTGTTCCTCATGGACTCTGTTTTTCATGGACGCTGTTCTTCATGGACGCTGTTCCTCATGGACTGGTGTTCTTCATGGACGCTGTTCTTCATGGACGCTGTTCCTCATGGACTGGTGTTCCTCATGGACGCTGTTCCTCATGGACTGGTGTTCTTCATGGACTCTGTTTTTCATGGACGCTGTTCCTCATGGACTGGTGTTCCTCATGGACGCTGTTCTTCATGGACGCTGTTCCTCATGGACTGGTGTTCCTCATGGACGGTGTTCCTCATGGACGCTGTTCTTCATGGACTGGTGTTCCTCATGGACGCTGTTCTTCATGGACGCTGTTCCTCATGGACTGGTGTTCTTCATGGACTGGTGTTCTTCATGGACTGGTGTTCTTCATGGACGCTGTTCCTCATGGACGCTGTTCCTCATGGACGCTGTTCCTCATGGACGCTGTTCTTCATGGACGCTGTTCCTCATGGACTGGTGTTCCTCATGGACTGGTGTTCCTCATGGACTGGTGTTCTTCATGGACTGGTGTTCTTCATGGACTGGTGTTCTTCATGGACGCTGTTCCTCATGGACGCTGTTCTTCATGGACGCTGTTCCTCATGGACTGGTGTTCTTCATGGACGCTGTTCCTCATGGACGCTGTTCCTCATGGACGCTGTTCCTCATGGACGCTGTTCTTCATGGACTGGTGTTCTTCATGGACTGGTGTTCTTCATGGACTGGTGTTCTTCATGGACGCTGTTCCTCATGGACGCTGTTCCTCATGGACGCTGTTCCTCATGGACGCTGTTCCTCATGGACGCTGTTCCTCATGGACGCTGTTCTTCATGGACGTTGTTCCTCATGGACTCTGTTTTTCATGGACGCTGTTCTTCATGGACGCTGTTCCTCATGGACGCTGTTCCTCATGGACGCTGTTCCTCATGGACGCTGTTCCTCATGGACTGGTGTTCTTCATGGACGCTGTTCCTCATGGACGCTGTTCCTCATGGACTGGTGTTCTTCATGGACTGGTGTTCTTCATGGACGCTGTTCCTCATGGACGCTGTTTTTCATGGACGCTGTTCCTCATGGACGCTGTTCTTCATGGACGCTGTTCTTCATGGACGCTGTTCCTCATGGACGCTGTTCTTCATGGACGCTGTTCCTCATGGACGTTGTTCCTCATGGACGCTGTTCTTCATGAACGCTGTTCTTCATGGACTTTGTTTTTCATGGACGCTGTTCTTCATGGACACTGTTCCTCATGGACGCTGTTTTTCATGGACGCTGTTCTTCATGGACGCTGTTCTTCATGGACGCTGTTCCTCATGGACGCTGTTCCTCATGGACGCTGTTCCTCATGGACTGGTGTTCTTCATGGACGCTGTTCTTCATGGACTGGTGTTCTTCATGGACGCTGTTCCTCATGGACGCTGTTCTTCATGGACGCTGTTCCTCATGGACGCTGTTCCTCATGGACGCTGTTCTTCATGGACTCTGTTTTTCATGGACGCTGTTCTTCATGGACGCTGTTCCTCATGGACGCTGTTCTTCATGGACTGGTGTTCTTCATGGACGCTGTTCCTCATGGACGCTGTTCCTCATGGACGCTGTTCCTCATGGACGCTGTTCCTCATGGACTGGTGTTCTTCATGGACGCTGTTCTTCATGGACTGGGGTTCTTCATGGACTGGTGTTCCTCATGGACGCTGTTCCTCATGGACGCTGTTCCTCATGGACGCTGTTCCTCATGGACGCTGTTCTTCATGGACTGGTGTTCTTCATGGACGCTGTTCCTCATGGACGCTGTTCTTCATGGACGCTGTTCCTCATGGACGCTGTTCCTCATGGACTGGTGTTCTTCATGGACGCTGTTCCTCATGGACGCTGTTCCTCATGGACTGGGGTTCTTCATGGACTGGTGTTCTTCATGGACGCTGTTCCTCATGGACGCTGTTTTTCATGGACGCTGTTCCTCATGGACGCTGTTCTTCATGGACTGGTGTTCTTCATGGACGCTGTTCCTCATGGACGCTGTTCTTCATGGACGCTGTTCCTCATGGACTCTGTTCCTCATGGACGCTGTTCCTCATGGACGCTGTTCTTCATGAACGCTGTTCTTCATGGACTTTGTTTTTCATGGACGCTGTTCTTCATGGACGCTGTTCCTCATGGACGCTGTTCTTCATGGACTGGTGTTCTTCATGGACGCTGTTCCTCATGGACGCTGTTCCTCATGGACGCTGTTCCTCATGGACGCTGTTCCTCATGGACTGGTGTTCTTCATGGACGCTGTTCTTCATGGACTGGTGTTCTTCATGGACGCTGTTCCTCATGGACGCTGTTCTTCATGGACGCTGTTCCTCATGGACGCTGTTCCTCATGGACGCTGTTCTTCATGGACTTTGTTTTTCATGGACGCTGTTCTTCATGGACGCTGTTCCTCATGGACGCTGTTCTTCATGGACTGGTGTTCTTCATGGACGCTGTTCCTCATGGACGCTGTTCCTCATGGACGCTGTTCCTCATGGACGCTGTTCCTCATGGACTGGTGTTCTTCATGGACGCTGTTCTTCATGGACTGGGGTTCTTCATGGACTGGTGTTCTTCATGGACGCTGTTCCTCATGGACGCTGTTTTTCATGGACGCTGTTCCTCATGGACGCTGTTCTTCATGGACTGGTGTTCTTCATGGACGCTGTTCCTCATGGACGCTGTTCTTCATGGACGCTGTTCCTCATGGACGCTGTTCCTCATGGACGCTGTTCTTCATGGACGCTGTTTTTCATGGACGCTGTTCTTCATGGACGCTGTTCCTCATGGACGCTGTTTTTCATGGACGCTGTTCTTCATGGACGCTGTTCCTCATGGACGCTGTTCCTCATGGACGCTGTTCTTCATGGACTGGTGTTCTTCATGGACGCTGTTCCTCATGGACGCTGTTCCTCATGGACGCTGTTCCTCATGGACGCTGTTCCTCATGGACTGGTGTTCTTCATGGACGCTGTTCTTCATGGACTGGGGTTCTTCATGGACTGGTGTTCCTCATGGACGCTGTTCCTCATGGACTGGTGTTCTTCATGGACTGGGGTTCTTCATGGACTGGTGTTCTTCATGGACGCTGTTTTTCATGGACGCTGTTCCTCATGGACTGGTGTTCCTCATGGACTGGTGTTCCTCATGGACTGGTGTTCTTCATGGACTGTCAGACAGTGATTTTCAATGATTTGAATTCCTTTCTTAGACCGGAACCCAGTTCCTCCATTATTATTAATATTATTATTATCATCGTCACAGTTCTGATTACAAACACTCCAGTGAGTGCCGGTTGGAGAAATCCTCAAAGGAAGCAGATCCAAGTGGAAAACCGTTTGGTGATATATTTACAGATCTTACAGCTTTTTAAATAAATGTAATAACAATGCCATGCTATCATTGTTTAAGCTTGCATAAAATTTTTTTAGCATTTCTCTTATAGCATATTTCACATTCATATTAATGTGAAACAGTAATATTTCACGTTAACATATTTTTGGGAATATGTTAATGTTAGATAATTATGAACAACATATAGCCATCATCTGCCAACAATACAGATGTTTAACTCAAGTGAAGGAAGTTTTACTGGTATGTAATGACGTCACCCGATCTGAGCTAAAATGTACAAGAATCAACTCTGATTCCTTTGCTTCCATTCAATGTAAAGTCAACCCAAATGTGCATGTAGATTCAGATGATGGTTGAATCAACATTGATATGGTGTCAGTTATGGTTGAAATGTTCATTCAACATGCAAGTGATGTCAAAGTCAGGCTTCACCTTGATTCATTGTTTCTGCCAAACCTTACTTAGGCAGATCAATGCCAAAGGAACTGTTCAAACTAGAATAATAGTGTCCATTCAGAAAGTCTAGTATAGTTTAATTATTTATCATATTTTAGAAAGTTGATCTCGCCATGTCCTTCCCACCAAAAGGATGGAAGAAACCAGCGTCCTGCTGAAGAAACTCTCAGCACCGAATCCCATTTGGAAACAGTTTGATTTTTACTGTGGTTCGGTTATCAGTTACCAGAACCGCAACATACATCAGGTCCACATGCATGATGCTTCTGTTTTGGGTTCGGCGACAGTTTTACCTTACTCGGTCCACCAGGGACCAGAACTTTTCATAATCTCGGTCCCAGCAACCGCAGCAGCACATCAATATGACCACCTTATTTTAGAGGATTTTCTAAGCGAGTTCGGAATGGGTGAAACTCTAAAGGTAGCCGTCTGACCGGTATCGGAACCAGAACTAACAGGAGGAAAACACAGCAGCGCACTCACCGCTTGAGTTGGGCTTAAGTTCGGGTCCAGTTCCCCAGGGAATATGTGCAACCCAACGCATGTGGCGGCGGCTCGCCGGAACAACCTGCTTCCTTGTTTTTACCCTCCTCACGTCACGTGGCGGTTACAGCCAATAGGAGGCTGAAACTGCTGTCACGTGGAGACTACGATTGACGCGGACGTGTTTTTCCGATTCTGCTCGGGTTCTTTTGAGACCATCTAATCGTTAAAATGATCCATAAGAGATCGATAAGCGAGAGGTGACAGCCGAGTCGAACCGAGCCGAACCGAGGCCGTCATGTCCGGACAGAGGGCTGGGAAATCCCTGATCATTACTGACGGTGAGTTCGGTCCGGACCAGTCCGACTGCCTGGTTCTGGTCCTGAACAAAACCAGAGCTGATCTGTGTTTGGATCAGAACCAGTTCCGTTTCAGCTTTTCCTCTCGGCAGATGAGGAGGAGGAGGTCCAGGATGGGCTGAACCCGTTCTCCTTCAAAGAGTTTCTGCGCTGGAAGAACCAGGACCAGGACCAGAACCAGAACCAGGACCAGAACCAGGACCAGGACCAGAACCAGGACCAGGACCAGAACCAGAACCAGGACCAGAACCAGAACCAGGACCAGGACCAGGACCAGAACCAGGACCAGGACCAGGACCAGGACCAGGACCAGAACCAGAACCAGGACCAGAACCAGGACCAGAAACACAGAAAGGTATGGAGCAGCAGAACCTGGACCTTATGATGGAAATGCTCTATCTGCTTTATGCCCACAGCAATGCACAGGGAGAGCAGTCAGTCACTGCATTGCAGGCACCCAATAGACCAGCGGTGATCAATACATCAATCAGGTTTTGAGTCTCTGCAGCAGGTGACAAACTGAAGACCAACAGGAAGCTGAGAGCAGAACTTCCTGTTCTGACAGGCTTATCAAAATATTCACTAAGATCCTAAACATTTGTAGCTTCATTAAAGAATCATAAAATATCAACAAAACATGTTAAAATGAATATGATCAGTAATTATTGTTAAGAAAGACCGACTGACAGCAGATCAGGAGTTTAAAGCAGCCAATCAGCCGCCGCTGAGTTCATGAGAGGCTCATTAATAATCAATACATATCAAGCCTGGAAACCTGATATCGTAACGGACTGAATGTTTTCACCTAATCTCTGCTCGTATTGAGCATATTGAGGTCAAAGTTCACATCCACCATCACTGACTGCAACCAGCTTGTGACTGAGAAACCAGTACCCTACTGAAACCAGTAACCTACTGAAACCAGTAACCTACTGAAACCAGTAACCTGTTGAAACCAGTAACCTACTGAAACCAGTAACCTGTTGAAACCAGTAACCTGTTGAAACCAGTAACCTGCTGAAACCAGTAACCTGCTGAAACCAGTAACCTGCTGAAACCAGTAACCTACTGAAACCAGTAACCTACTGAAACCAGTAACCTGTTGAAACCAGTAACCTGTTTAAACCAGTAACCTACTGAAACCAGTAACCTACTGAAACCAGTCACCTGTTGAAACCAGTAACCTACTGAAACCAGTAACCTGCTGAAACCAGTAACCTACTAAAACCAGTAACCTGTTGAAACCAGTAACCTACTGAAACCAGTAACCTGTTGAAACCAGTAACCTACTGAAACCAGTAACCTATTGAAACCAGTAACCTACTGAAACCAGTAACCTACTGAAATCAGTAACCTACTGAAACCAGTCACCTGTTGAAACCAGTAACCTACTGAAACCAGTAACCTATTGAAACCAGTAACCTGTTGAAACCAGTAACCTACTGAAACCAGTAACCTGTTGAAACCAGCAACCTACTGAAACCAGTAACCTGTTGAAACCAGCAACCTGCTGAAACCAGTAACCTACTGAAACCAGTCACCTGTTGAAACCAGTAACCTACTGAAACCAGTAACCTGTTGAAACCAGTAACCTACTGAAACCAGTAACCTACTGAAACCAGTAACCTACTGAAATCAGTAACCTACTGAAACCAGTCACCTGTTGAAACCAGTAACCTACTGAAACCAGTAACCTATTGAAACCAGTAACCTGTTGAAACCAGTAACCTACTGAAACCAGTAACCTGCTGAAACCAGTAAACTACTGAAACCAGTAACCTGTTGAAACCAGTAACCTGCTGAAACCAGTAACCTACTGAAACCAGTAACCTACTGAAACCAGTAACCTATTGAAACCAGTAACCTGTTGAAACCAGTAACTTACTGAAACCAGTAACCTGTTGAAACCAGTATCCTACTGAAACCAGTAACCTACTGAAACCAGTATCCTACTGAAACCAGTAACCTATTGAAACCAGTAACCTGTTGAAACCAGTAACCTACTGAAACCAGTAACCTGTCGAAACCAGTAACCTGCTGAAACCAGTAACCTACTGAAACCAGTAACCTGCTGAAACCAGTAACCTGTTGAAACCAGTAACCTGTTGAAACCAGTAACCTACTGAAACCAGTAACCTGCTGAAACCAGTAACCTACTGAAACCAGTAACCTGTTGAAACCAGTAACCTACTGAAACCAGTAACCTACTGAAACCAGTAACCTACTGAAACCAGTAACCTGTTGAAACCAGTAACCTGTTGAAACCAGTAACCTACTGAAACCAGTAACCTACTGAAACCAGTCACCTGTTGAAACCAGTAACCTACTGAAACCAGTAACCTACTGAAACCAGTAACCTGTTGAAACCAGTAACCTACTGAAACCAGTAACCTGTTGAAACCAGTAACCTACTGAAACCAGTAACCTACTGAAACCAGTCACCTGTTGAAACCAGTAACCTACTTAAACCAGTAACCTACTGAAACCAGTAACCTACTGAAACCAGTAAACTTCTTAAACCAGTAACCTACTGAAACCAGTAACCTGCTGAAACCAGTAACCTGTTGAAACCAGTAACCTACTGAAACCAGTAACCTACTGAAACCAGTAACCTACTGAAACCAGTAACCTGTTGAAACCAGCAACCTGCTGAAACCAGTAAACTTCTTAAACCTGTAATCTACTGAAACCAGTAACCTACTGAAACCAGTCACCTGTTGAAACCAGTAACCTACTGAAACCAGTAACCTACTGAAACCAGTCACCTGTTGAAACCAGTAACCTACTGAAACCAGTAACCTACTGAAACCAGTAACCTGTTGAAACCAGTAACCTACTGAAACCAGTAACCTGCTGAAACCAGTAACCTGTTGAAACCAGTAACCTACTGAAACCAGTAACCTACTGAAACCAGTAACCTGTTGAAACCAGTAACATACTGAAACCAGTAACCTACTGAAACTAGTAACCTGTTGAAACCAGTAACCTGCTGAATCCAGTAACCTACTGAAACTAGTAACCTGCTGAAACCAGTAACCTGCTGAAACCAGTAACCTACTGAAACTAGTAACCTGTTGAAACCAGTAACATACTGAATCCAGTAACCTACTGAAACCAGTAACCTACTGAAACCAGTAACCTGCTGAAACCAGTAACCTACTGAAACTAGTAACCTGCTGAAACCAGTAACCTGCTGAAACCAGTAACCTACTGAAACTAGTAACCTACTGAAACCAGTAACCTGCTGAAACCAGTAGCCTACTGAAACCAGTAACCTACTGAAACCAGTAACCTGCTGAAACCAGTAGCCTACTGAAACCAGTAACCTGCTGAAACCAGTAACCTACTGAAACCAGTAACCTACTGAAACCAGTAACCTGTTGAAACCAGTAACCTACTGAAACCAGTAACCTACTGAAACCAGTAGCCTACTGAAACCAGTAACCTGCTGAAACCAGTAACCTCCTGAAACCAGTAACCTACTGAAACCAGTAACCTGTTGAAACCAGTAACCTACTGAAACCAGTAACCTACTGAAACCAGTAACCTGTTGAAACCAGTAACCTACTGAAACCAGTAAACTACTTAAACCAGTAACCTACTGAAACCAGTAACCTACTGAAACCAGTAACCTACTGAAACCAGTAACCTGGTCCCTGCATCAGGTTTTCTATCATTTCTGATAGAACTGATGGATATTTGTATAGAAATGATCAACATGGTTTCATTTCCAGTTTCTGTGTCTTGGTGTCATGAGGCGGATCTCAGCGGCTGCTGGGAGAACAACTGGATGTTGGTGCCGGACGGTTTGGGCTCCGCTGATCTAGAATGTGTCTTTCTATATAGCAAAGCTACAAACGGCTCAAACTCCACAGTAACTGACGTTTCGTTAGTCCAGTGCTTCTCAATTATTTTCCGTTACGCCCCCCCTAGCAAGAAGAAAACTATTCGCGCCCCCCACTCCCCACCGTGACTATCCATTTCTGCATAACATTTTTTCCTTATTAACATTTTTTTCGCTGAAAAAACTCTAGCGGCTTATCGGCGTGATTGAGATGTAACGTATTTAAGTGACGCGCTAATTTATTTGGCTTCATGCTGTCCGCTGCGAGCATTTTTAGACACAGCAAACACACCGGTCTTTCCTCTTCTCCAACTGTAGTCACAGTGAAGCCAAGCGCTAAATACGCTTCGTCGTATTTCCTCTTCTTAGCTTTCGGTTGACTTTCTGTTGTCTCATTATCTTTGTCTCTCTCCGCTTTTCTTTTCATCCCTGTGAAAAACTTTTTCATGTTGGGGGTTGTTGAATAACGGAGGCCATAGACAGAACGCAGTCGGAGCTTTTTGTTGACTTAACACTGCTAACCAAGGCAAACCTGTTGTCTTGTAAGTCGTAAAATGTTGCACTGTCGCAAACGTGACAGAAGTAACAATGAGAGCGCCACTGCCGCCTACTGTGCGCAATTACACTTTATACTAGTACGGCCAAAAAAAAGCCTGTTCCCCAGGATCACACGCCCCCCCAGGTATCGCACCGCGCCCCCAAAAGGGGGCCCGCCCCACTATTTGAGAAGCACTGCGTTAGAGTGTGGGAAGCACTGCGATTCTGACCCCAAATAAATTTTGAAATCGTCGTCACGCCCGCAAATATCGCCCTATCGGTATGAAACTCGGTCCAGACATAGATACGCATGCCTGCTCCGGTAAAATGTTTTCAATTTTTCCTAGGGCTTACGGTTTTCTGTCAAGGGGCTTCAGAGCGAAGTGATGCCACAGGATTTTCACTCGCTCAGCCAGACTGAAAAATGTCAGACCTCAGCGCACACCATTTTTATCTCGTCGCTGTTATTACTGTGAGTGAGGTACTGATATGAATCGTGGGACTATCGGAGAAAAGAAATAGCGCTCTCATACGCTTCAAACGGTTTCTGAATGCGAAGGAGTTGTTCGGACAGCTTTTTTCATTAAAACTGACTGGGCGTCTCATAAAGATAGAATTCTTTCTCCACCTTTCTCACACCCAGGGCCGAGCATTAGCTTTAGCCGAGCATAATGCTCGGCTAAAGCTAATGCTCGGCTTAGCTCAAGTAAAACCTAAACGATTCTCTGCTCCCACATCCTTTACCAATACTCTGAACTACACATAGTAAACACCCATAAAGCCCCCAATAATAGTAACTGGGTTGAAAGCTTTATTTCAGTTTAAACAATTGCATATACATTCGTATAATCAAAAATATCTATGATATAAAAGAAATATATATATATATATATATACCATTGATTCGCCATTACCATTAGAGTGGTAATGGCGAACCAACCAGACATTGTCGTAGTGGATAAACATCAGAGGAAAGCCGTTGTGGTAGATGTAGCAATACCAAGTGATTGCAACATCAGGAAAAAGGAGAAACTGGAGAAATACCAGGGCCTCAGGGAAGAACTGGAGAGGGCCTGGAAGGTGAAGACCACAGTGGTGCCTGTGGTCATCGGGGCCCTCGGGGCAGTAACCCCCAAACTGGAGCAGTGGCTACAACAGATCCCAGGAACAACATCAGACATCTCAGTCCAGAAATGTGCAGCAGTCCTTGGCACAAGATACTGCAGGACCCTCAAGCTCCCAGGCCTCTGGTAGAGGATATATAGATCTATATATATAGATCTATATATCCTCTGGTAGAGGACCCGAGCTCAGAGGATAAGAACCACCCGCGGTGGGTGAGAAGGGAATTTTATTTTATATTGTCTGTCCTATCAGGAGGAGGCTTTGGGGTGGAGCTTCCAGCCGTTAGTGGACAGCGGCTCCTCCCTCTACGCTAACGAGGAGGAAGAGGATGCAGATGAAGACCATAGAAGAGGGGAGACAAGGTTGGTTGTGCCCTCTCAGGGTCAAAGGTCAGATATGACTCCTGGGCCAGGTGTTCTGTTCATCTGTGCTACCCGTCAATCCGTGCTACCTTGTGGTGATGCACATCGACATTCTGCTGACTCAGCAGATTTCTTATAAATCTGTCCTACCTGTGGAAGTTTTGTTTCATGTGTTTTATTCCATTGCAGATTACGGTAAGCTTTATTGAATTTAAATAAAGAAGCCGTTCTTTATTTAGTGCTAAACTCCTACGCCGCTGCAGCACATATATTTATAAATGGCTTTAGTTTGGTCTGCAAAGTCATTGCTGTAAAGAAATCAGGACTAAATATGTTGTTTTAGGCTATTTTGTCCCTATATTTGAAAACATTTTAGTTTAATTCCACTCTTTATTAATTATTAAACTTTGCTAAATAGATGTTAGCGATACTATGTGGGACTCAATAGCCTGTAATATCAGTGCATATGAATCATATCCCGTCATTTCAGTGACACGTTGTGGCTGCATTTAATAAAGTCGCTCAAACAGATTAATGCACAAAATAGATCTGTGGCGATCTGGATTAGTCTTTAATTTAATTCCAACCAAACCTGTTTCCCATCTGATCCTGTCTTATTCTAACAAACGCCTCTGTCTCAGATATTAACAGGTAGATATGATGGTTGTTGTGTCTACCACTAGGTGGCGTTCCAGAATAGGATTGAGAGCAGAGAGAGAGAAAGAGTAGAAGAAGAGCTAAGATGGCGGAAAAGCTTATGTTATTGTACTGCTGAGCAAGTTATGAATAAAAGCTATTAAGAGTTATTTGTCTACCGAGCTTCTACCTCGTCCTACCTACCAAACATAACAATTGGCGACGAGGATGGGATGCTACGGGATCAGCTTATTGAGAAAGATTATTCACCGGAGGTGAGAAACAGACTTTTATTAGAATGTTCGCTTACGTTGGACACCGCTGTCACACTGGCGTGTCAAGTGGAACATGCTCTTCATGCATCCAAACTCCTCAGTGAAGCTACTCCTGTTCATATGGTTACCCAGCGCGGATCTACTCAACGGAAGACTAGAAACCGGCAAGCCGTTTCTAAAAATAGCCACACGCGCACAGTACAGCAGACAGCGCGAGCCTGTTATCGATGTGGATCGACAAATCACCTGGCGAATGCACGAGACTGCCCTGCGGCCGCAGCAAAATGCAACAGCTGTGGTAAAACTGGACACTTTTCTAAAGTTTGCCGCTCAGCTAAACAAGTTAGAGAAGTAATGCCTGAAGTGGCTGTGCTCATGTTGACCTCAAAAGAAGTTAACACTACTGATAGATTGATTTGCAAAGTGAACATTAAAGCTATGTCAGGGGAGTCTACTGACTGTGAATTACTGATTGATACAGGATCATCTGTTTCTATCATACCAGAGACTCTGTACAACAGACATTTTCCTGAGAGTCGTCTAACTGCACCTCATGTGAGATTAGTCACTTATTTGAAAGAGGACATCCCTGCAATAGGATGTTTGGAAGCCACAGTTACCCTTGACAACAACACTGCTCCTGCTTCTTTGTATGTGGTTCAAGGAGGATCTGCATTACTCGGAATGGACCTAATAAAAGCACTGAAATGGACAATTAACCACAATTCATTCCATGTTCCACCTCCTGAACAAGTTTCTTCTGCCGCACCTGTGTTACAAACAGACTCTGCTTCTATTGGCTGCGTTGCTGGGTTTGTGCACAAAGTTAAAGTACGTGAGGATGCAGTTCCAGTTCAGCAAAAACTCCGACGTCTTCCATTTGCAGTACGAGAAGCTGTGTCAGAGGAGCTGGATCTGCTTCTGAAGGAGGGCATTATCGAACGCATTGATGCTTCTCCCTGGATTTCTCCTATTGTGGTTACAACAAGAAAAGGAGGCAGACCAAGATTATGTGTTGACTTAAGAGAACCGAATAAAGCGATTGTTGCTGACAGTCACCCTTTGCCTCACATGGATGAACTATTAAGTGAGCTCAGGGGTGCCAATGTTTTCTCTACCATAGATCTGGCATCTGCATACCACCAACTTCTACTCACGGCTTTCATTACACACAAAGGACTTTTCCGCTACTGCCGTGTTCCCTACGGGTTGGCCTCTGCTCCATCTGCATTCCAAAAAATGATGTAAACTGTGCTTAAAGGGCTACCTGGTGTGCACAATTACTTGGATGATGTAATTGTTGCAGGATCTTCTCTAGAGGAACATGACAGACGCCTGCGTGCTGTGCTCCAGCGTCTCACAGATGTAGGTCTGACACTGAACATGCAAAAATGCACATTTAAAGAGTCCAGCCTCAAATTTCTTGGCCACATCATTTCCAAAGACGGCATTCTTCCTGATCCGGACCATAGTGCAGCTGTCCGTGATGCCCCACCACCACATGATCTACCATCTCTGCGCTCCTTCCTGGGTTTAATTTCCTGGTACAGTAAATTCCTTCCCAATTTTGCCACAGTAGTGGAACCAATGCGGGCTGTACTGAGAGAAACTGTTGACTCTGGTTTCATATGGACTGAAGGAGCTGATCAAAGCTTTAAGGAACTAAAAGAGCTTTTACTGAACAGTCCTGTTCTTGCTCTTTTTGACCCATCTCTACCAACCATTGTCACCACAGACGCGTCAGACTACGGACTGGGTGGTGTGTTGACCCAAATACACCCAGATAATACTGAACGCACTGTGGCATTTGCGTCTCGAACTCTGAACCCTACTGAACGAAAGTACTCTACAGTGGAATAGGAGGCTCTTGCTTGTGGGTGGGCTGTGGAAAAATGGAGGTCTTATCTTTGGGGACGACATTTCACACTAAGAACTGATCATCAGGCACTGACAACACTACTCGCTACCAAAGGCATTGGGCGTGCTGGAATGAGAGTTGCACGCTGGTCTGCACGTTTACTGTGCTTCACCTATGATTTGGAATACAGGCCTGGATCACAAAACCAGGCTGCAGACTGTTTGTCACGGTTGCCACTCCCTATGGACTCTACTCCTATAGATGAACCTGACATGGTTGCATCCATTGTGTCAGCTCTGTCTGTTGATGAGTTCATTTCTGCTTCCTCTCAGTGCCATGAACTCACACTCCTTCGTGGACAGATAGAGAAGGGCTGGCCAAAATGCAAGAAGGCTGTGGACCCAGTCTTAATGCCATACTTCCACATCAGGAATGAACTTTCTGCATCTCAGGATCTGGTCATGAGAGGGGAACATCGATCCATTGTTCCTGTAGCTTTACGTGCTACTGTCATTCATCTGGCACATGAAACACATCAAGGTGTTGTTTGCACAAAACAGAGACTACGTGATCTTTACTGGTGGCCTCAGATGGACAAAATGGTTCAGTCTGTTATTTCTTCATGTACTACCTGCCAAATGAATGACAAATCTGCTCAAACTGCTCCTGCTCCTCTCCAACCCATTGCACTGCCGAACAGGCCATGGGAGAAAGTGGCTCTGGACGTCGTGGGTCCCTTTGAAACTGCTGCTTCTTCATGTAGGTTCGCTATAACATTAGTGGACTATTACAGCAAATGGCCAGAGGTGGCGTTTTCTCACTCTGTAACTGCTGATGTTGTTGTTACATTTATGCGCTCTATTTTCAGCAGAGAGGGGAACCCTGACTACATAGTCACTGATAATGGGCCGCAGTTTCTTTCCACCTCTTTTGCAGAGTTTCTCAGAGAAAGGGGAATATCTCATCTGCGTACAAGTGTGTACCATCCACAGAGTAATGGTGCTATCGAAAGATGGAATAGAGTTCTTAAGGAGACAATCCTAACTGCTGAACACATGCAGAAAGACTGGAAAACTACAGTGACTGATTTCCTACAAAACTACAGAGCAACACCACATAACACAACTGGAGTATCTCCATCAGAACTACTGCACAACAGGAGGATGAAAACAAAAGTGAACATCTTTCCAAATCTAGAGAAAAGCAGAAAATGCACTACAGTCCAGTCCAAGAAACAGTTAAACAGAAACAAAAGAAGTCTAAACAGTATACTGACAAACGCCGTGGAGCAAAGACACCAACATTCAAACCAGGAGACTTGGTGAGGGTGAAAAGACCTGACTGTGTTCGGAAAGGCTCATCAAGACTTACTCCACCGCTGTCTGTTGAAAAGCAGATTGGAGGAAGTACTTATGTACTCAGTGACAATAAAAGGTGGAATGCTGCCAGACTTTCACATTACTCTGCAGGTATTCCATGTAAAACGATAAAACCAGAAAAGCATGACCCTGTGGTTCGAAATAAAAGGGCCAGAACTGCTGCTTGATCTTTGTGGTTCAAGGACTTTCAACCAGGTTAAAAGAAAATATTAATATGTAAATACATAAATGCTTGTGTTACATGTTTAGGGTTCAGGTGAACTAATTTTCATTACAAACAAACTGGCTACAAATGCCTGAATTTTAATTGTACAATAGTTACATTTGGTAATTCTGTTCCATAGTAACTTCAAGTTTTAGAGTTTAAAAGTACAGGGTTGCTGAATATATTTGTTTGGTTTTATGTACTTAATTGACCACCTACTTTGATTGCAACTAAGGTTATCTTTGTGATGTACAAACTGTTAAATGAAGTTGATGTTCAGTCATATGTTAAATGGGTACATGCAATCTTTTCAAGTAAGGGGGGAATGTTGTGTCTACCACTAGGTGGCGTTCCAGAATAGGATTGAGAGCAGAGAGAGAGAAAGAGTAGAAGAAGAGCTAAGATGGCGGAAAAGCTTATGTTATTGTACTGCTGAGCAAGTTATGAATAAAAGCTATTAAGAGTTATTTGTCTACCGAGCTTCTACCTCGTCCTACCTACCAAACATAACAATGGTGAAGGATCAGCTGCATCTGCAGCTTCTGCTTCTGGTTTCGTCATGATATCAATGGTTCAATGCTAAGCTAACCAGAACTGCTAAGCTTCCACTTCAGTCACTAGATAATCCACAATATTTAACATTACCAAGCCGCTGTAGTTTGTTTGTAAACATGACGGTAGCAGTTTTTGACGGGTAGCACGGACTGACAGACCTGGCCATCTATTCCTGCTGTGGTAGGAAAATCTGACGAGGTAGGTCAGATCGTCAGAACACCGACAGTCTGGGGTCATGAACCCGGCCGTATCTAGGAGAACCTATTTCTGGTCTCTCTCCTCCAGAACCTCTCAGGTTTTCCTGGTTTCCTCTGAACTCCGCCCACCTGAAGCGGGCCGAGTTCTGGAGCTTCTGGTTCCAGAATGGACCCAGTAGAACCTGAGATGGTTCTGAAGGTTCTGGCCTGGTGCAGATGCAGGGGAGTTTCCATGGTAACAGCTGACTCCTGTCCTCCAGGTTCTCCTCCAACCCAGAAGGAGACGAGATGCCCCTCAGCCAATCAGACGCCGGCAGGGGGCAGAGCCTGATCCAACAGGTAGGAAGCACAGGTAGACGCCTGGAACCGCTTCTGAACCAGAACCAGAACCGGATCCAGAACCGGATCCATCTCTCCTGGAACACCAGAATACTTAGGTATTTTTAGGAGCTGCACTAAAAGATTTGAGTTCTGGTTCTGATCCAGATGAGGGAGGAGAACTTGGCGCTGAGGAAGAGCGTCAGGGAGCTGCAGAGGAGAGCCGACCTCCATCAGTCCAGGTGAGCGGCGATCGACCAGTCACAGCGCGGCACGGAGGCCTGTTTACCCAGCATGCCTTGCTGCAGGGCGAAGCGGCTCTCTGAGGAGCTGCAGCAGAGGAGGCACCAGGAGGAGCAGGAGGTGCAGGACCTGGAGAGCATGGTGCAGTCAGTGGAGCAGAACCTGCAGCTGATGAAGGTGCAGAGGAGAAGCAGGAGAAGGATGAGAAGTATCGGTTCACACCTGGACTGACAGATGTGTGTGTGTGTGTGTTTCAGAGGCGAGCAGTGAAGGCTGAAAGCAGCGTTTCCAGACTGAGGGTGGAGCTTCAGCAGCTGCAGGTAAGCCTGGACCCAGGTGTGTGTTGGTCCTTACCAGTGGGTCATGGAGGGGCGGCATCCTGCACATTTTAGTCTCTCCCTGGTACCAACAACCTTTTCAGCAGGTCAGTGCTCTTCTTCAGGCTCTAATGAGCCGTCATTTGATCAAGGTGCCTTAAACCAGAGACAGAACTAAAACATGCAGGATGTCGGCCCTCCAGGACCCACTTTGGGCCCCCTGCTCTTGACGTTTGAGGAAAACCTGGGGGCTCGTCCAGGATCTTTCTGTTAAACTGGAAACGGTTCCTCCACAGGAACTGCTGAAGAGTTCCTCACTGATCTAACTGGACTAAAGGTGCTGACCCGTTCAGGTTCAACCAGCAGAACCTGGACAAAACCGTCTAATCTGGCCTGACAACAGCGTGTGTGTGTGTGTGTGTAGGTGGAGGCAGATGCTCTGCGATCAGAAAACAACCGGCTGAAGGCTGCTGAATCTGAGGTCGTCATGACGATGAGACAAAATGCTCAGGTGGCGGCTGAGTACCTGAGCAAATCAGCAAGCCACGCCCACTCCTCCGTCAGGTCAGTATCTGCAGGACACTGAGCAGGCAGAGCCGGCGGTGCTCAATTTCAGTTGTGTTTAATTAATATAATCTGTGTTAGCCAATGCTAATGCTAGCATTAGCATTGGCTACCTCCATCAGAAGGTAGCTAATGCTACCTTCTGATGGAGGTAGTAACTCAGTAGTAGAGTTACTGATCTACTACTGAAGTGTGCAGGATGCTTTGGCAACGTCTGTCATTCCGCCACACTTAAAGTGCACTGAGCATGTGCGCCAAGTCAGGGTTAGGGCTCGTGAAAAATCAATGTAATTGACCACTAGAAATAATCATTATAATTGATCAAAACACTTCCTGGTCCCAGATGACCTGAAGTGACGTTCTTCCTCTGCAACTCTGAGCTGCTCTCTAGCTTCCCCTCTGGAAGTTTCTGGTGCTGCAAGTCCAGATGTTCAGGTCCCAGAGGCCAGAGCTGAGCCGCCATTGGCTGCTTCAGGTCATGTGACCACAGCAGCTCAGTGGTTTCCATGAGCTAACTCTCTAATGCAGTTTCTCCACTAGCTCTCACTGACCTTTCACCTTTCTGTGTGTGCAGGCAGCTGCTGGAGGAAGCAGAGACTCTCCGTTTGGTTTCTCAGCTGCTGCAATCCATCGATAAGATCTCCAGTGTTCAGCCTGAGCACCTGCAGGACACCTGAGGGGGTAGTTGCCATGGAAACCATAGACTTGACACCCTAAGGTTTTACTTTAGGAGGAGAAGAAAGATGGAGGAGGTTCAGCTTCAGATCTGTCCATCTGGAGTCCAAGATTTTCTGTTATTGCTTTGATTTCTGTGAGATGATGATGATCATGATGAAAGTGATGATGAAGATCTGGAGGTTTCAACACTGAGCTCTCCTCCCCCCTCCAGGTTCTGAGTAAGATGACCAGACATGAAAAAACGATTGATTTATTGCATTTTTAATTCCAACGGTTTGGTTTGAACTCTGACCTCTGCTAAAGTTTTGGCCTTGACTTTGATGTAAACCTGCAGGATCAATAACTCTTCCTTCTGATCTTTAATACATAAAAACCTGAACCAATCTCAGTAAAGTGGAGAAATGCTGATTTGTTCCCGAAAATAAAATCTAGACCCAACCAACCAGGAACTGATCCTCAGCCAATCAGGACGCTCCATGTCCTCAGCCAATCAGGACACTCCATGTCCTCAGCCAATCAGGACGCTCCATGTCCTCAGCCAATCAGGACGCTCCATGTCCTCAGCCAATCAGGACACTCCATGTCCTCAGAACAAAGACATTTGAAAACAAAAGTCTGTGCTGTCCATGTTGGTGAAAAACAGCGCCACCCTCCACGAGAGCAAAGACGATGTGGACCGGACTGGAGAACTGGTTCATCAGATTAACCTGGTTCAAATTAAACCAGTTCAGATTAACCTGGCTCAAATTAAACCAGTTCAGATTAACCTGGCTCAAATTAAACCAGTTCAGATTAACCTGGCTGGTAACTGAAATGCCTGGAAGCAGAAAATAATTACAATTATCAAAAATAAAAACATGAATCTGTAAGACATGTTTCACTGAAAGAGTTACTGATCTACAGCAGATCTATCACCGATCTATAACTGATCAATAACGCGTTGCTGCGTTAGCTGCTCTGCTCTCCAGAGCTCCAGGAAGTCCTGATCATTCCTGCAGCTTCTCTTCATCCTGAACTCATTTGGTTTTAAATGGTTTTGAATGGAGCCTCCAGCCGACTGCAGCTGTTCGTCCTCCGTTGCTGTTAGTGGATGTCGCCTGTGCGTCACATTCACAGGCGTACCAGAAACACAACAGAAAGGTTCCGGCTCCAGACTTTAGTTTGTAAAAACAAACTCTGTTCATATTTCTTAAAATCTATGGAACTGATTTGTGATAAATTAGTTCTGATCCTACTTTGGTGAGTAGACCCGGTTCTGTCTGAATTCAGTTCTTTCAGTCGTCTCAAAACTCAATAGGAAAAAACACATTAACAATAAAAATCAGACTGCAGTTTGTTATTTTATTACTTTGGCTGAATTTTGATAAACTGCCATAAATCAAAAGTGCTGCATTGCTTTGATAGACTTAAGCTTTGTCTTTTTGTTACGGTAACAAATATCTGATTATATTTCTCTCTCCAACTCTCCAGTAAATGAGAAGAGCTTGAAACGGGAGCAGCTCAGTGTGAGGAAAAACAGAAATGTCTGCTTTGATTTCTAACCACATAGAGCCTCTAAAACCACACACACAAAACATCTGGATATTTTTCTATAAAAACTCTGCAGCTCTGAGCGTTAAGTTGAACTTATGATTCTTCCCAGATCCTCATTATTTCTGCCGACTGATAGATTCTCAGCCATTCAGGACGGAAAAACATTTAAAGCAACTTATTTATAACGTAATAATACATAACTTGCATGGAATCAATATTTATGAGGAATTTTATCAAGTGAAGTCACGCATTAAAACTTTCTATTTATAGCCTTAAATTTTCATGAAGGTGCAGCAGAGATTATATCAGTGCCACTGAACCAGGATTATATCTTAACATTTAAACTCTACAGTTTGTTTCTCATTTCTGATGAGGAATCAGATCATTTAAACACATAAACATATAACAACATGACCAAAACAATTATTTGTCCATAAGATGGTCAGAGGACCGGTGGAAACACTGCAGACATGAATAAATCACAGGGAGAAACATTAATGAATAGAAGAGTTTAGTGTAACCCACAAGTTACTTTAAATACACTGAATAATAGCAAAAGGCAGGAAATTTAATTTACTTCTCTGACCAGCAACAATGCTATGAAAGTTGGGCCGGATCCTGAATCGGGAGCCGAGGTGTGAATAACAACACAAAGTGTCAACAAGGAAGAGTCAAATTTCATCATAAAACAATTGAGGATCCACATGTACAATTGCAACAAAATAGCGCACGGTTTTTTAAAACAGAAAATAAAATAAACAACAGTCTGTTCCAGTGTGTTAGTCGATTCTCTCAGTATTTCAAGGATAGTGACCAGTTGGGTCACTATCTACCATCTCACTGGGTTCACTGGGTTCACTGGGTTCTCTGGGTTCACTGGGTTCTCTGGGTTCACTGGGTTCTCTGGGTTCTCTGGGTTCACTGGGTTCTCTGGGTTCACTGGGTTCTCTGGGTTCTATGGGTTCACTGGGATCTCTGGATTCACTGGGTTCACTGGGTTCTCTGGATTCACTGGGTTCTCTGGGTTCACTGGGTTCACTGGGTTCTCTGGATTCACTGGGTTCACTGGGTTCTCTGGGTTCACTGGGTTCACTGGATTCTCTGGGTTCACTGGGTTCTCTGGATTCACTGGGTTCTCTGGATTCACTGGGTTCTCTGGATTCACTGGGTTCTCTGGATTCACTGGGTTCACTGGGTTCTCTGGATTCACTGGGTTCTCTGGATTCACTGGGTTCTCTGGATTCACTGGGTTCACTGGGTTCACTGGATTCACTGGGTTCTCTGGGTTCACTGGGTTCTCTGGATTCACTGGGTTCTCTGGATTCACTGGGTTCTCTGGATTCACTGGGTTCTCTGGATTCACTGGGTTCACTGGATTCTCTGGGTTCTCTGGGTTCACTGGATTCACTGGGTTCTCTGGGTTCACTGGGTTCTCTGGATTCACTGGGTTCTCTGGATTCACTGGGTTCTCTGGATTCACTGGGTTCTCTGGATTCACTGGGTTCACTGGGTTCTCTGGATTCACTGGGTTCTCTGGATTCACTGGGTTCACTGGCTTCTCTGGATTCACTGGGTTCTCTGGATTCACTGGGTTCACTGGATTCACTGGGTTCACTGGGTTCTCTGGATTCACTGGGTTCTCTGGGTTCACTGGGTTCTCTGGATTCACTGGGTTCTCTGGATTCACTGGGTTCACTGGGTTCTCTGGATTCACTGGGTTCTCTGGATTCACTGGGTTCTCTGGATTCACTGGGTTCTCTGGGTTCACTGGGTTCTCTGGGTTCACTGGGTTCTCTGGATTCACTGGGTTCACTGGGTTCTCTGGATTCACTGGGTTCACTGGGTTCACTGGATTCACTGGGTTCTCTGGATTCACTGGGTTCTCTGGATTCACTGGGTTCTCTGGGTTCACTGGGTTCACTGGGTTCTCTGGGTTCACTGGGTTCTCTGGATTCACTGGGTTCACTGGATTCACTGGGTTCTCTGGATTCACTGGATTCACTGGGTTCACTGGGTTCTCTGGGTTCACTGGGTTCTCTGGGTTCACTGGGTTCTCTGGATTCACTGGGTTCTCTGGATTCACTGGGTTCACTGGGTTCTCTGGGTTCTCTGGATTCACTGGGTTCTCTGGGTTCACTGGGTTCTCTGGATTCACTGGGTTCACTGGGTTCTCTGGATTCACTGGGTTCTCTGGGTTCACTGGGTTCTCTGGATTCACTGGGTTCTCTGGGTTCACTGGGTTCTCTGGATTCACTGGGTTCTCTGGATTCACTGGGTTCATTGGGTTCACTGGATTCACTGGGTTCACTGGGTTCACTGGCTTCTCTGGATTCACTGGGTTCTCTGGATTCACTGGGTTCACTGGGTTCACTGGGTTCTCTGGATTCACTGGGTTCTCTGGATTCACTGGGTTCTCTGGGTTCACTGGGTTCTCTGGATTCACTGGGTTCTCTGGATTCACTGGGTTCACTGGGTTCTCTGGATTCACTGGGTTCTCTGGATTCACTGGGTTCTCTGGATTCACTGGGTTCTCTGGGTTCACTGGGTTCTCTGGGTTCACTGGGTTCTCTGGATTCACTGGGTTCACTGGGTTCACTGGTTCTCTGGGTTCACTGGGTTCTCTGGATTCACTGGGTTCACTGGATTCACTGGGTTTCACTGGTTATCTGGGTTCACTGGGTTCATGGGTTCTCTGGGTTCTCTGGATTCACTCACTGGGTTCTCTGGGTTCACTGGGTTCTCTGGGTTTACTGGGTTCTTTGGGTTCTCTGGATTCACTGGTTTATCTGGGTTCACTGGGTTTTCACTGGGTTCTCTGGGTTCACTGGGTTCTCTGGGTTCTCTGGATTCACTGGATTCACTGGGTTCTCTGGGTTCACTGGGTTCACTGGGTTCTCTGGGTTCTCTGGATTCACTGGGTTCACTGGGGTTCACTGGTTCACTCACTGGGTTCACTGGGTTCTCTGGGTTCACTGGGTTCTCTGGGTTCTCTGGGTTCTCTGGATTCACTGGGTTCACTGGGTTCTCTGGGTTCTCTGGATTCACTGGTTTCTCTGGGTTCACTGGGTTCTCTGGGTTCTCTGGATTCACTGGGTTCTCTGGGTTCACTGGGTTCTCTGGATTCACTGGGTTCACTGGGTTCTTTGGGTTCTCTGGATTCACTGGTTTCTCTGGGTTCACTGGGTTCTCTGGATTCACTGGGTTCTTTGGGTTCTCTGGGTTCTCTGGATTCACTGGGTTCTCTGGATTCACTGGATTCACTGGGTTCACTGGGTTCTTTGGGTTCTCTGGATTCACTGGGTTCTCTGGATTCACTGGGTTCTCTGGATTCACTGGGTTCACTGGGTTCTCTGGGTTCACTGGGTTCTCTGGGTTCTCTGGATTCACTGGGTTCTCTGGGTTCACTGGGTTCTCTGGGTTCACTGGGTTCTCTGGGTTCACTGGGTTCTCTGGATTCACTGGGTTCACTGGGTTCTTTGGGTTCTCTGGATTCACTGGTTTCTCTGGGTTCACTGGTTTCTCTGGATTCACTGGGTTCTCTGGGTTCACTGGGTTCTCTGGGTTCACTGGGTTCTCTGGATTCACTGGGTTCACTGGGGTTCTTTGGGTTCTCTGGGTTCTCTGGATTCACTGGGTTCTCTGGATTCACTGGGTTCTCTGGGTTCACTGGGTTCTCTGGATTCACTGGGTTCTCTGGGTTCACTGGGTTCACTGGGTTCTCTGGATTCACTGGGTTCACTGGGTTCTCTGGGTTCACTGGGTTCTCTGGATTCACTGGGTTCACTGGGTTCTTTGGGTTCACTGGGTTCACTGGGTTCTTTGGGTTCTCTGGGTTCTCTGGATTCACTGGGTTCTCTGGATTCACTGGGTTCTCTGGGTTCTCTGGGTTCACTGGGTTCTCTGGATTCACTGGGTTCTCTGGGTTCACTGGGTTCTCTGGATTCACTGGGTTCACTGGGTTCACTGGGTTCTCTGGATTCACTGGGTTCTCTGGGTTCACTGGGTTCTTTGGGTTCTCTGGGTTCTCTGGATTCACTGGGTTCTCTGGGTTCTCTGGATTCACTGGGTTCTCTGGATTCACTGGGTTCTCTGGATTCACTGGGTTCTCTGGGTTCACTGGGTTCTCTGGGTTCACTGGGTTCTCTGGATTCACTGGGTTCACTGGGTTCTCTGGGTTCACTGGGTTCTCTGGATTCACTGGGTTCTCTGGGTTCACTGGGTTCTTTGGGTTCTCTGGGTTCTCTGGATTCACTGGGTTCTCTGGGTTCTCTGGATTCACTGGGTTCTCTGGATTCACTGGGTTCTCTGGATTCACTGGGTTCTCTGGGTTCACTGGGTTCTCTGGGTTCACTGTGTTCTCTGGATTCACTGTGTTCTCTGGGTTCACTGGGTTCTCTGGGTTCACTGGGTTCTCTGGATTCACTGGGTTCTCTGGGTTCTCTGGATTCACTGGGTTCTCTGGATTCACTGGGTTCTCTGGGTTCACTGGGTTCACTGGGTTCTCTGGGTTCTCTGGATTCACTGGATTCACTGGGTTCTCTGGGTTCACTGGGTTCACTGGGTTCACTGGGTTCACTGGGTTCTCTGGGTTCTCTGGATTCACTGGATTCACTGGGTTCTCTGGGTTCACTGGGTTCACTGGGTTCTCTGGGTTCACTGGGTTCTCTGGGTTCACTGGGTTCTCTGGATTCACTGGGTTCACTGGGTTCTTTGGGTTCTCTGGATTCACTGGTTTCTCTGGGTTCACTGGGTTCTCTGGGTTCTCTGGATTCACTGGGTTCTCTGGGTTCACTGGGTTCTCTGGATTCACTGGGTTCACTGGGTTCTTTGGGTTCTCTGGATTCACTGGTTTCTCTGGGTTCACTGGGTTCTCTGGATTCACTGGTTTCTCTGGGTTCACTGGGTTCTCTGGATTCACTGGGTTCTTTGGGTTCTCTGGGTTCTCTGGATTCACTGGGTTCTCTGGATTCACTGGATTCACTGGGTTCACTGGGTTCTTTGGGTTCTCTGGATTCACTGGGTTCTCTGGATTCACTGGGTTCACTGGGTTCTTTGGGTTCTCTGGATTCACTGGTTTCTCTGGGTTCACTGGGTTCTCTGGATTCACTGGGTTCTTTGGGTTCTCTGGGTTCTCTGGATTCACTGGGTTCTCTGGATTCACTGGATTCACTGGGTTCACTGGGTTCTTTGGGTTCTCTGGATTCACTGGGTTCTCTGGATTCACTGGGTTCACTGGGTTCTCTGGGTTCACTGGGTTCTCTGGATTCACTGGGTTCACTGGGTTCTTTGGGTTCTCTGGATTCACTGGTTTCTCTGGGTTCACTGGTTTCTCTGGATTCACTGGGTTCTCTGGGTTCACTGGGTTCTCTGGGTTCACTGGGTTCTCTGGATTCACTGGGTTCACTGGGTTCTTTGGGTTCTCTGGGTTCTCTGGATTCACTGGGTTCTCTGGATTCACTGGGTTCTCTGGGTTCACTGGGTTCTCTGGATTCACTGGGTTCTCTGGGTTCACTGGGTTCACTGGGTTCTCTGGATTCACTGGGTTCACTGGGTTCTCTGGGTTCACTGGGTTCTCTGGATTCACTGGGTTCACTGGGTTCTTTGGGTTCACTGGGTTCACTGGGTTCTTTGGGTTCTCTGGGTTCTCTGGATTCACTGGGTTCTCTGGATTCACTGGGTTCTCTGGGTTCTCTGGGTTCACTGGGTTCTCTGGATTCACTGGGTTCTCTGGGTTCACTGGGTTCTCTGGATTCACTGGGTTCACTGGGTTCTCTGGGTTCACTGGGTTCTCTGGATTCACTGGGTTCTCTGGGTTCACTGGGTTCTTTGGGTTCTCTGGGTTCTCTGGATTCACTGGGTTCTCTGGATTCACTGGGTTCTCTGGATTCACTGGGTTCTCTGGATTCACTGGGTTCTCTGGGTTCACTGGGTTCTCTGGGTTCACTGGGTTCTCTGGATTCACTGGGTTCACTGGGTTCTCTGGGTTCACTGGGTTCTCTGGATTCACTGGGTTCTCTGGGTTCACTGGGTTCTTTGGGTTCTCTGGGTTCTCTGGATTCACTGGGTTCTCTGGGTTCTCTGGATTCACTGGGTTCTCTGGATTCACTGGGTTCTCTGGATTCACTGGGTTCTCTGGGTTCACTGGGTTCTCTGGGTTCACTGTGTTCTCTGGATTCACTGTGTTCTCTGGGTTCACTGGGTTCTCTGGGTTCACTGGGTTCTCTGGATTCACTGGGTTCTCTGGATTCACTGGGTTCTCTGGGTTCACTGGGTTCTCTGGGTTCACTGGGTTCTCTGGATTCACTGGGTTCACTGGGTTCACTGGGTTCTCTGGGTTCACTGGGTTCTCTGGATTCACTGGGTTCACTGGATTCACTGGGTTCACTGGGTTATCTGGGTTCACTGGGTTCTCTGGGTTCTCTGGATTCACTGGATTCACTGGGTTCTCTGGGTTCACTGGGTTCTCTGGATTCACTGGGTTCACTGGGTTCTTTGGGTTCTCTGGATTCACTGGTTTCTCTGGGTTCACTGGGTTCTCTGGGTTCACTGGGTTCTCTGGGTTCACTGGGTTCTCTGGGTTCTCTGGATTCACTGGATTCACTGGGTTCTCTGGGTTCACTGGGTTCACTGGGTTCTCTGGGTTCTCTGGATTCACTGGGTTCTCTGGGTTCACTGGGTTCACTGGGTTCACTGGGTTCTCTGGGTTCACTGGGTTCTCTGGGTTCACTGGGTTCTCTGGATTCACTGGGTTCACTGGGTTCTTTGGGTTCTCTGGATTCACTGGTTTCTCTGGGTTCACTGGGTTCTCTGGGTTCTCTGGATTCACTGGGTTCTCTGGGTTCACTGGGTTCTCTGGATTCACTGGGTTCACTGGGTTCTTTGGGTTCTCTGGATTCACTGGTTTCTCTGGGTTCACTGGGTTCTCTGGATTCACTGGGTTCTTTGGGTTCTCTGGGTTCTCTGGATTCACTGGGTTCTCTGGATTCACTGGATTCACTGGGTTCACTGGGTTCTTTGGGTTCTCTGGATTCACTGGGTTCTCTGGATTCACTGGGTTCTCTGGATTCACTGGGTTCACTGGGTTCTCTGGGTTCACTGGGTTCTCTGGGTTCTCTGGATTCACTGGGTTCTCTGGGTTCACTGGGTTCTCTGGGTTCACTGGGTTCTCTGGGTTCACTGGGTTCTCTGGATTCACTGGGTTCACTGGGTTCTTTGGGTTCTCTGGATTCACTGGTTTCTCTGGGTTCACTGGTTTCTCTGGATTCACTGGGTTCTCTGGGTTCACTGGGTTCTCTGGGTTCACTGGGTTCTCTGGATTCACTGGGTTCACTGGGTTCTTTGGGTTCTCTGGGTTCTCTGGATTCACTGGGTTCTCTGGATTCACTGGGTTCTCTGGGTTCACTGGGTTCTCTGGATTCACTGGGTTCTCTGGGTTCACTGGGTTCACTGGGTTCTCTGGATTCACTGGGTTCACTGGGTTCTCTGGGTTCACTGGGTTCTCTGGATTCACTGGGTTCACTGGGTTCTTTGGGTTCACTGGGTTCACTGGGTTCTTTGGGTTCTCTGGGTTCTCTGGATTCACTGGGTTCTCTGGATTCACTGGGTTCTCTGGGTTCTCTGGGTTCACTGGGTTCTCTGGATTCACTGGGTTCTCTGGGTTCACTGGGTTCTCTGGATTCACTGGGTTCACTGGGTTCACTGGGTTCTCTGGATTCACTGGGTTCTCTGGGTTCACTGGGTTCTTTGGGTTCTCTGGGTTCTCTGGATTCACTGGGTTCTCTGGGTTCTCTGGATTCACTGGGTTCTCTGGATTCACTGGGTTCTCTGGATTCACTGGGTTCTCTGGGTTCACTGGGTTCTCTGGGTTCACTGGGTTCTCTGGATTCACTGGGTTCACTGGGTTCTCTGGGTTCACTGGGTTCTCTGGATTCACTGGGTTCTCTGGGTTCACTGGGTTCTTTGGGTTCTCTGGGTTCTCTGGATTCACTGGGTTCTCTGGGTTCTCTGGATTCACTGGGTTCTCTGGATTCACTGGGTTCTCTGGATTCACTGGGTTCTCTGGGTTCACTGGGTTCTCTGGGTTCACTGTGTTCTCTGGATTCACTGTGTTCTCTGGGTTCACTGGGTTCTCTGGGTTCACTGGGTTCTCTGGATTCACTGGGTTCTCTGGGTTCTCTGGATTCACTGGGTTCTCTGGATTCACTGGGTTCTCTGGGTTCACTGGGTTCACTGGGTTCTCTGGGTTCTCTGGATTCACTGGATTCACTGGGTTCTCTGGGTTCACTGGGTTCACTGGGTTCACTGGGTTCACTGGGTTCTCTGGGTTCTCTGGATTCACTGGATTCACTGGGTTCTCTGGGTTCACTGGGTTCACTGGGTTCTCTGGGTTCACTGGGTTCTCTGGGTTCACTGGGTTCTCTGGATTCACTGGGTTCACTGGGTTCTTTGGGTTCTCTGGATTCACTGGTTTCTCTGGGTTCACTGGGTTCTCTGGGTTCTCTGGATTCACTGGGTTCTCTGGGTTCACTGGGTTCTCTGGATTCACTGGGTTCACTGGGTTCTTTGGGTTCTCTGGATTCACTGGTTTCTCTGGGTTCACTGGGTTCTCTGGATTCACTGGTTTCTCTGGGTTCACTGGGTTCTCTGGATTCACTGGGTTCTTTGGGTTCTCTGGGTTCTCTGGATTCACTGGGTTCTCTGGATTCACTGGATTCACTGGGTTCACTGGGTTCTTTGGGTTCTCTGGATTCACTGGGTTCTCTGGATTCACTGGGTTCACTGGGTTCTTTGGGTTCTCTGGATTCACTGGTTTCTCTGGGTTCACTGGGTTCTCTGGATTCACTGGGTTCTTTGGGTTCTCTGGGTTCTCTGGATTCACTGGGTTCTCTGGATTCACTGGATTCACTGGGTTCACTGGGTTCTTTGGGTTCTCTGGATTCACTGGGTTCTCTGGATTCACTGGGTTCACTGGGTTCTCTGGGTTCACTGGGTTCTCTGGATTCACTGGGTTCACTGGGTTCTTTGGGTTCTCTGGATTCACTGGTTTCTCTGGGTTCACTGGGTTCTCTGGATTCACTGGGTTCTCTGGGTTCACTGGGTTCTCTGGGTTCACTGGGTTCTCTGGATTCACTGGGTTCACTGGGTTCTTTGGGTTCTCTGGGTTCTCTGGATTCACTGGGTTCTCTGGATTCACTGGGTTCTCTGGGTTCACTGGGTTCTCTGGATTCACTGGGTTCTCTGGGTTCACTGGGTTCACTGGGTTCTCTGGATTCACTGGGTTCACTGGGTTCTCTGGGTTCACTGGGTTCTCTGGATTCACTGGGTTCACTGGGTTCTTTGGGTTCACTGGGTTCACTGGGTTCTTTGGGTTCTCTGGGTTCTCTGGATTCACTGGGTTCTCTGGATTCACTGGGTTCTCTGGGTTCTCTGGGTTCACTGGGTTCTCTGGATTCACTGGGTTCTCTGGGTTCACTGGGTTCTCTGGATTCACTGGGTTCACTGGGTTCTCTGGGTTCACTGGGTTCTCTGGATTCACTGGGTTCTCTGGGTTCACTGGGTTCTTTGGGTTCTCTGGGTTCTCTGGATTCACTGGGTTCTCTGGATTCACTGGGTTCTCTGGATTCACTGGGTTCTCTGGATTCACTGGGTTCTCTGGGTTCACTGGGTTCTCTGGGTTCACTGGGTTCTCTGGATTCACTGGGTTCACTGGGTTCTCTGGGTTCACTGGGTTCTCTGGATTCACTGGGTTCTCTGGGTTCACTGGGTTCTTTGGGTTCTCTGGGTTCTCTGGATTCACTGGGTTCTCTGGGTTCTCTGGATTCACTGGGTTCTCTGGATTCACTGGGTTCTCTGGATTCACTGGGTTCTCTGGGTTCACTGGGTTCTCTGGGTTCACTGTGTTCTCTGGATTCACTGTGTTCTCTGGGTTCACTGGGTTCTCTGGGTTCACTGGGTTCTCTGGATTCACTGGGTTCTCTGGGTTCTCTGGATTCACTGGGTTCTCTGGATTCACTGGGTTCTCTGGGTTCACTGGGTTCTCTGGGTTCTCTGGATTCACTGGATTCACTGGGTTCTCTGGGTTCACTGGGTTCACTGGGTTCACTGGGTTCACTGGGTTCTCTGGGTTCTCTGGATTCACTGGATTCACTGGGTTCTCTGGGTTCACTGGGTTCACTGGGTTCTCTGGGTTCACTGGGTTCTCTGGGTTCACTGGGTTCTCTGGATTCACTGGGTTCACTGGGTTCTTTGGGTTCTCTGGATTCACTGGTTTCTCTGGGTTCACTGGGTTCTCTGGGTTCTCTGGATTCACTGGATTCACTGGGTTCTCTGGGTTCACTGGGTTCTCTGGATTCACTGGGTTCTTTGGGTTCTCTGGATTCACTGGTTTCTCTGGGTTCACTGGGTTCTCTGGATTCACTGGGTTCTTTGGGTTCTCTGGGTTCTCTGGATTCACTGGGTTCTCTGGATTCACTGGGTTCACTGGGTTCTTTGGGTTCTCTGGATTCACTGGGTTCTCTGGATTCACTGGGTTCACTGGGTTCTCTGGATTCACTGGGTTCACTGGGTTCTCTGGGTTCTCTGGGTTCTCTGGATTCACTGGGTTCTCTGGGTTCACTGGGTTCACTGGGTTCTCTGGGTTCACTGGGTTCTCTGGGTTCACTGGGTTCTCTGGATTCACTGGGTTCACTGGGTTCTTTGGGTTCTCTGGATTCACTGGTTTCTCTGGGTTCACTGGTTTCTCTGGATTCACTGGGTTCTCTGGGTTCACTGGGTTCTCTGGGTTCACTGGGTTCTCTGGATTCACTGGGTTCACTGGGTTCTTTGGGTTCTCTGGGTTCTCTGGATTCACTGGGTTCTCTGGATTCACTGGGTTCTCTGGGTTCACTGGGTTCTCTGGATTCACTGGGTTCTCTGGGTTCACTGGGTTCACTGGGTTCTCTGGATTCACTGGGTTCACTGGGTTCTCTGGGTTCACTGGGTTCTCTGGATTCACTGGGTTCACTGGGTTCTTTGGGTTCACTGGGTTCACTGGGTTCTTTGGGTTCTCTGGGTTCTCTGGATTCACTGGGTTCTCTGGATTCACTGGGTTCTCTGGGTTCTCTGGGTTCACTGGGTTCTCTGGATTCACTGGGTTCTCTGGGTTCACTGGGTTCTCTGGATTCACTGGGTTCACTGGGTTCTCTGGGTTCACTGGGTTCTCTGGATTCACTGGGTTCTCTGGGTTCACTGGGTTCTTTGGGTTCTCTGGGTTCTCTGGATTCACTGGGTTCTCTGGGTTCTCTGGATTCACTGGGTTCTCTGGATTCACTGGGTTCTCTGGATTCACTGGGTTCTCTGGGTTCACTGGGTTCTCTGGGTTCACTGGGTTCTCTGGATTCACTGTGTTCTCTGGGTTCACTGGGTTCTCTGGGTTCACTGGGTTCTCTGGATTCACTGGGTTCTCTGGGTTCTCTGGATTCACTGGGTTCTCTGGATTCACTGGGTTCTCTGGGTTCACTGGGTTCACTGGGTTCTCTGGATTCACTGGGTTCTCTGGATTCACTGGGTTCACTGGGTTCACTGGGTTCTCTGGATTCACTGGGTTCTCTGGGTTCACTGGGTTCTCTGGATTCACTGGGTTCTCTGGATTCACTGGGTTCTCTGGGTTCACTGGGTTCTCTGGATTCACTGGGTTCTCTGGATTCACTGGGTTCTCTGGGTTCACTGGGTTCTCTGGATTCACTGGGTTCTCTGGGTTCACTGGGTTCTCTGGGTTCACTGGGTTCTCTGGATTCACTGGGTTCTCTGGATTCACTGGGTTCTCTGGATTCACTGGGTTCACTGGGTTCTCTGGATTCACTGGGTTCTCTGGATTCACTGGGTTCACTGGGTTCTCTGGGTTCACTGGGTTCTCTGGATTCACTGGGTTCTCTGGATTCACTGGGTTCACTGGGTTCTCTGGATTCACTGGGTTCTCTGGATTCACTGGGTTCACTGGGTTCTCTGGGTTCACTGGGTTCTCTGGATTCACTGGGTTCTCTGGGTTCACTGGGTTCTCTGGGTTCACTGGGTTCTCTGGATTCACTGGGTTCTCTGGGTTCTCTGGGTTCACTGGGTTCTCTGGGTTCTCTGGGTTCACTGGGTTCTCTGGGTTCACTGGGTTCTCTGGGTTCTCTGGGTTCACTGGGTTCTCTGGGTTCACTGGGAGCGGTCCAGTGGGTCGCTTCCCTCACCTGCATCACCAGCATCAAGCTGCCACTGCAGGAGGGTTCAAATCCGACTGGTTTGCAGTGAAGCAAGAAGACTCACCGGTTTGCAGCATGATTGGGTCCAGCCGGGTCAGGGACAGAAGTGCTGAATTATTGAGCAGCTGCACAGTGAAGATGAGGAGGAAGAGTCACAGATGACCTTCATCATTCAGACCTGGATGAGGAGGAAACCAGGAAGTGGATCTGATTCTGCTGGCAGGAGGTGGGTCCCACTGGCGCCCCCGCCTGTCCTCGCCGTTCTTCACCTGTCCTCTTCTGTCCCCGCCTGTCCTCTTCTGTCCCCACCTGTCCTCTTCTGTCCCCGCCATTCCTCACCTGTCCTCTTCTGTCCCCACCATTCCTCACCTGTCCTCTTCTGTCCCCACCTGTCTTATATTTATAAAGGAGGGAGGGGCAGCACTCCGCTCGGGGGTTACCATGGCGATGAGAAACAGGCCATAAACCATGTGACCCTCTGAATACTTCAGTGCCTCGCCCGCCCGCCTCTCTCTCTCACTCGCTCCCCGCGAAGCGAGTCAGATGGACCGGACCTGAGAGCGGTTCTGATCCGATCTGAGGTTCTGGTGTCGGGTCTAGATTTGATGGTTCTGGATCTTACTGCACATTTCTGTTTCTTCTTGATGCTTGGACAGAACACCTGGTTTCAGAGTTTCGGTTCTGGTCTCAGAATCTGAAGTGGCCTCATTCGGACCTTCCACCGATCGATGATTCATTGTGGCTCCAAATGCTCAACAGGAACCATTAGAACCTCGGGGGCGTGGTGAACACCGCAGGGTTCCGCTGGTTCTGTTTGCTTCTCACTGAGTCTTTGTGGGACTCGTTGGTTTGGACCGGTTGGTTTGGACTGGTTGGTTTGGACCACTTGGTTTGGACTGGTTGGTTTGGACTGGTTGGTTTGGACCAGTTGGTTTGGACCGGTTGGTTTGGACTGGTTGGTTTGGACCAGTTGGTTTGGACTGGTTGGTTTGGACTGGTTGGTTTGGACCAGTTGGTTTGGACCAGTTGGTTTGGACTGGTTAGTTTGGACCAGTTGGTTTGGACCGGTTGGTTTGGACCAGTTGGTTTGGACTGGTTGGTTTGGACCAGTTGGTTTGGACCGGTTGGTTTGGACCAGTTGGTTTGGACTGGTTGGTTTGGACCAGTTGGTTTGGACCGGTTGGTTTGGACCAGTTGGTTTGGACTGGTTAGTTTGGACCAGTTGGTTTACTGGTTGGTTTGGACCAGTTGGTTTGGACTGGTTGGTTTGGACCAGTTGGTTTGGACGGTTGGTTTGGACCAGTTGGTTTGGACTGGTTAGTTTGGACCTGGATCATCAAGATGTTCTGGAAAAATGCGGCTTGGTTTTCGTTCAATACTGGAAGTGATGAGGATGATGGCGGATCCTTCCTGGCGGCTGACCTCAGACACACTCTGGACTCGGATCCGGACTCGGCTCCTGACGGTGACCTGAACCACCCCAGAGGCACAGCTAACACCACCTGGTCCGTCAGAACCACGACCCGCTCCGGTGGACCCAGAGTGTCGACCCGACACGGCATGGCATCCAGAGGGCTCAGTGGTCTGGACTCGGACTACGGCGAAGTCGCCAGCTGCGAGTCTTCGGTTCTTTGCGGGTCTCGTCGCCTGGTGGTGAGCAAACCCAAACTGACCACCAGAACCTCTTCAGAACCCGGGTCAAACGTAGCACTAAAAAGTTTTTACTACAAACATGTTCAAGTCTAGATTTCCTGGATTTGAGTTCAGACAGAAAATCCAGTCTCAGGATTGTGTTGGGCGAGAGGTGAGGATTGGACTAGGCCATTTCTGAAGAAACTGAATTTAGTCTGAGTTTTGCAGAAAATTGTTTCTGTTTCTTCCGTTTTAATGTATTAAATTTTTATTTAATCTCCTGCAGACAGAATCTGATGGCTTCAGAGGTCACAGGAGATGACCCTGAAATGACCTTCAAACTTTGATTTAATCAAACAGATGATAACCTGATTGGACATAAAGCATTCAGAACAATCAGAATATTTCACACAGTTCATTTCTGAAGTCCATTTGCCTGGATCAGAACCTTTCTGTTCTTTTCAGAAACCGGGTCAAAGTTCAGAACCGACTGGAACGATTCCAGTCGGCTTCTGGTTGTAGTATCAGGCTCTGTGTATCCTGGACTTGTTTTGGATCTGGTTCTGACCCGTTTCCTGGTCCAGAGCTGGTCAGACAAACACGGCGATGCTTCCCGTTTCAGTGTTTCCCAGGGAGAATAAAAATACTTCAGCCGCCGTGACCTTGCTCCTTATTGACTGAAATTTAAGTTGCTTTTTATGCGTTTTTCTTGCTCTTTACCTTTTCTTTCATTTCAGTAGCTCTGTCCTGTTACCATTGATACGTTATACAGAACGTCACCAAAATAAAAGCATGGAACATTCAGTTGGCCTTACAGAATTGATTCAATCTGTTGTGTTGTCGGGTCATGGTTCTTGTTGAAGAAATTCTGTCTCATCCCTCTGGGTTCCTCACACAGAACTGGAAGCACAACCTCCCTCAGGTTTCATAAGACTGTTCTGATCCATCCGAGGTCTGGCAGTGAAATGGAACCGGAACCAGGAACAGAATCCTCCCTGCTGCCGGCCCCTCAGGCCTGCAGGGTTTAATTTCAGCCTGTCAGTCTGAACTCGGGGACATTTACCTTTCTTTGTGCCGACAAAGGCTCAGGATGAGCTGACCTTTCCGTCGCTACATCTGGTTGCAGAGTCATGGAAACCATGGAAATGGCTCAGACCCGAATGGACCTCTGGAGCAGAACCACAGCTGAACCGGGTTCTGCTTCTGTTCTAGAGATGAACATAAATAAACTATAATATTTCTGAACAAATTGAAACGGGGCCCACCAAAGTGTGCCTGTCGGTTGGAACCCAGCATTGTGATGCTAAAAATTAGCATCAATTTTAAGCTTAGCTAAAATAATAATAGCATGTGGAAAATCACAGGCTTATTGACTAACAAGAACTTACTCCATTCAGTAGCTTAAAACTAGTGCACAAGTTAAAATTAGCCTAAATGCTGCCAGCGGTACCACTAGCATGTTGTCATATCGACTTCCTCCATTCAGTGCGCTCAACATGACGAGAAGAAAAATGGCTAAAAACTTATTTTAGGGAAACGGCATGTCACTGCCTCCCACGGTGAGCTTTCTGCTGAGGTGGAAAGTGGCAGTGCACCAGTGAAATGCTAATATTTTTGCTAATGTTAATGTACTATCCTGAGAGAAAAACATAGCAATGCTTGGGAGGCAGTGACAGCCTCCCAAGCATTGCTATGACTTAGCATTGCTAAGTCAATGTATGCTTTAAAATAAATAACCCCAATCTTTTCAGCACATTTAGCATTGCGCCATCTTCAACAGGATGAGGTCACACTGTTTAGTCTACTTTAGAAGTACAAACTAGGGCCTAGTACATGCAGACTGTACTCATAAAAGGCACACCATATACTGTACATGGAGAAACACAGTACAAATGGTTCAAGACATGTGGACTGAACTAGAAAACTTCCTAAGTTTTCAGTGACAGCCTCCCAAGCATTGCTATGGGAATAATATGAGAGCTCCTGATGGTCACTCTGACGCCCCCTGCTGATTGCTATGCCAAGACCTGGCCCAGATTTGAAAGCTTCAGGAACCAATCAGCTGGTGGTACCTCCTGCAGAAGCAGCCAATCACAGAAGGGCCTCCTTAGAAGCGTCCAAAGAACTTCTCTGGATGAGAGGGCTCACTCAGACCAAAATACAGAAACCACCAGGAGCAGAACACTGGGGTCACAGAGAGGTCAAGGGGAAAGGGAGACAGGTCGGTTCTGACCCGATTGGTCCGGTTCTTGCAGGTCAGCATTCTCCGGGGGTTGGACGGTTTTGGGTTCGCCATCTTCTCCGATCATCCCGTCAGAGTCCAGGCTGTGGATCCGGGTGAGATTCCCACCATCTTCACATCACATGGAGAACTGGTTGAAACTGGTCCACATTAATTCAAACTGGTTTCAACCAGTTTGCACCTGTTTAATTTGATGTGAACTGGTTCACATCAGATTTAAACTGGTTTAAACAAGTTTCTTGAAACCCTAAATGAACCAGATGTTCAACCAATGCAGGCTGAACTGCAGCCAGCATTGGTTGAACTGGTTAAATTTGTGTGAAGGAAATCTGCCTGGTCTCATTTGGTCGGTTCTGGTAGGCGGTCCAGCTCAGAGATCCGGACTCCGTCAGGGAGACTTGGTCCTCCAGCTCAACGGACTTCCTGTGGAATCCTGGACCTGCGCCGACCTGGCCCAGGCCATCAGGTAGCCCCGCACCCCGGTTCCGCCCTCTCAGAACCGACCCTCAGTTCTAAAGCTGCAGTGTCCCACCAGGAGCTGTCCGTCTCGGATCATCCTGGCGGTCTGGAGAGGTTTACCTGAGCTGGGCTCAGTGTGCGAGACGTGGCTCCACCCACAGCTTTACAATCCGGTGAGTCCCAACGCTTGCCTGCCAACAAGGCCTCTGATGGGCTGATCACTCAGGTGTACCTGCCAGGTGTTGCTTGGTTCTGGACATTTAGCTGCAGCATCTCAAGGATTAATATTCCCGTTTCCAGAATCCGCCTGGTAACCATGGAAACTACCAGAACTGCACCGTCTTTCAGTCCCATCTGCTGTGGCCCGGATATGGAGACACATCACTTCCACCAAAAACTGTCATCTTCCCCTTCTTTGTCCAGGTCAAAATTTTTCCCCAACTCTAGAACTCTGCCATGGGTCCAACATTAAGGTTGGCTCAGTTAGAACCTGGTTCTGGTCCAGAACCATGACGTGTGTGTTGTTTCAGCCTCTGGACTTCTGCAGCCCGGTCAGAACCCTGCGCATGTCCGAGGAGATGATTCTGCACCAGGCCCACCTGCTTCCTTCCAAGGTACCAAGTTCTGGTTCTGACCTGGTTTGGAAATCTTCAGCAGGTCTAATAAAACTGGAGGAAATGGTTCTGGTTCGTTCCAGAACGTCAGGTGGAAGCGTCTCTCAGCTCCTCCCTGTCTCCAGGTCTCCGTCCTGATCTTCTCCGACCTGCTGCTTCTTGCCAGACAGGAGGAAGGCGGTCACTGCACCGTCCTCCGGAGCCCGCTGTACCTGAATGCGCTCCGGCTCAGAGAAGGTACCAGAACCTCAGCCGGTCCTCCTGGACCCGACCTCCTCCCACTGCCGGGTGAAGACCTGCCCCTCCGACAGGAAGTGAATTCGTTCCTCTTCCTGTTCTAGTCCCGTGGGAACCGCTAAGGCTCCACCTCCTGCAGAGGTCCGCTGGCGGCTGGCGGTGCGTCTTCAGCCTGGAGGCCTTCAACGCCGAGCAGAAGGTCCGGGTCGGCCTCTGTCTCCGGGACGACCGGCGGCGCTGCCTGGTCGCCATGGAGACCACACTCCCTTGGCAGGTAAGCACCCTGATAGGGCGCCACATCAGATACACAAAAGAACAACGTCCTTCCTTCCTTCCTTCAGCTCTCAGACTCGTCTGTTGTCCATCTTGTCCTTTCTCCCCTCTCTGCGACCCCTCCCCCATGTTTCCACGTGGCCCCGCGACCCCTTTGCCTCCCCCCCAGAGCAGCAGCAGGGGGAGAGTTCCTCTGAGGTGTTGGACTCTGGGGGTTCGGGGCTCCGCCCCCCCACCAGCCAGGAGGAAGAGGAGGAGGAAGAGCGCGGCTGTAGGCCTCCGGGTCAGTCCAGATGTTCTACAGGCTGCAGAGAGACGATAACCAGGTTTGGATCCCTGGTTCTGGTTGTCACAGCAGAGAGCTGGGGGTCTATGGAACCTTGGCCGGTTTGCTGTGGACCCACTGGTGGGTCCAGAACCAGAACCAGAGAGAACCTAGTGGATCAGCCATGATGGCTATGAAACCTTCCAGACTGGGTCAGAACCAGTTTCTATTGGTTTTGGATCTTTAGATAATGTGATGCTTCTGGTTGATCAGCTATCAGAGCTTTGAGTATTGATGATATCTGCAGGGTGGCCATTTTGTCTTCATCAGGAGGAAACTGCTTCCTGTTTTTATTTACTCAGTAATTCTGATCAAATCAGGAATAAAAACGACACCTTTTTATTCCACAACATTTACCAACCGAAGACAGGAAGTAGACTGTGTCGAGTCACTGCCTAAAACCAAACTGCATCAACCGGCTGGTTGACCAATTGGTCAAATGTTTTGTTCTCCTCAGTCCTGCGCCGCTCGCTCTCTGAGGGTTCCTTGCTACAGGAAGCTCGATTGCCTCTCTTCCTGTCTGACAGCACTATCCGTCAACTTAGACCGACATTGACCTTTGACCCAAGCCTGCCCCCTCCCCACTGCCTGCCCCAGCTGACCAAGGAAGGAGCATCTCTGCACCCATGCTGCTGCTGCTCAATGGAGCCAAGGTAGAACCAGAACCACACACCCAGTCCAACAGCATGATGCTAATGAGCATACTACAGGTCTAACCAGTACAGACCAGTATGACCCAGTATGAGCTCCCAGGTCAGAGCTTTTTTGTTAGAAACAAGGTTCTAGCCCTGATCTGTTAACCCAATAACAAACCAGTTCAACCAAATCAGGGACCAGTACAGCCCCCTGTGGCCTCATTTTTGACTAGTTCAAACTGGTTCCAAACAAATTTTCTCTGTTTTGTTTCAAAGGAAGGAAAATCCAGCAACTTCAGGCTGAAGGAGAAGAAAACCAAAAGTTTGTAAGTCGACATACATCAGCTGACTTCCTGTTCCTCATTGCTTGTCATCACCTTTGAGGAATCCTCCAGGACAGGGGTGCCCAAAACGTCGATCGCGATCTACCGGTCGATCGCGATCTACCGGTCGATCGCGATCAACCGGTCGATCGCGATCTACCGGTTGATCGCGGGGAGGTTTGAGTGATCTCTGCAGGACGCTGAGAGCAGCACTTCCTCTTCTGACAGACTTATCAAAAATATTCACTAAGATCCAAAACGTTTGTAGCTTCATTAAATAATAATAAGCCTGAACCTGATATCGTAACGGACTGAACGTTTTTAACGTAATCTTTGCTCGGCTTGCGGGGCGCAGGCGGTTTGCCACAGCAACGGGTGTGCTTAACGATAAAGAGAGAGAGAGAGTAAAAAGGTGCGAGAGGTTCTGAGTTGTTCGGGTTATTTTACTTTGTTTTCCTTCGCTGTGCTTCATCACAGTCGCTGGAGTTTCTGAACGTTCAATAAACGACAGACTTGGACTAATGACCTCGTTCGTTTGCAGTAAACGTCACAACCAACATCAAATAGGACAAATATATTTGATTAAGTTTTAACAAACAAATGGCTTCCACAATAATTGTGTCAAATTACATTAATTATATCCCAAATTCAGAAGATTTGCCTTTGGTTGCTCTTTGGTTCCTCCTATCAGTCTGCAGTTTCTCATAGTGACGTCATCAAACCAAATTTCAGATCCACCATAACTGACTGACACCTGCTGGCCTCAGGTTTACAACCAGCTTCTGACTGAGAAACCAGTAACCTGCTCCCAGTGTCAGAATCTCACTGAGGAAGAAACTGCATGAGGTTTTCTATCACTTTATCATTTCTGATCTATATTTGCATAGAAAATGAGTCAATAGGGTTTCATTTTAATTTGTATGTCTTCATGTCATGAGGTAGATCTCAGCCGGCTGATGAGAGAAAAAGTAGATCTTGGTCTCAAAAAGTTAGAGCACCCCTGCTCTAGGACCTTTGAGGAATCCGGTATAACCTTTTAGCAACCCTGTATAACCATTGAGGAATCCGGTAGAACCATTGAGGAATCCGGTAGAACCATTGAGGAGCCCCGTAGAACTCTGAAGAACATTTGTAGAACATTGTCGAACCTTTGAGGAACCCTGTAAAACCTTCCCAGACTGCTCAACCTAGACAGCGCCCTTGGAGGATTGTCTTTGCCCCCCCAGTTGGGTCCTGGTTCTCCTTGGTGGAGTTTGTTCTGTCATTCTTGGTTCTGTCTGACTCTGGTCGGTTCCTCGTGCTACTGCACTGTTGGTCGGATCTCTGCTTTGTCTTCCAGACCATCTGAAGGAGAGGTTAGGAGATGGGCAGACAGTCTGAAAGCTCTGCTGACCACTCAGCGTAAGACTTCCTGTTCGCTTGGACCAATAAGCAGTCAGGGGAGAGCCAGTCTCCATTGGCTGACAGTGTCTCGTTGTCATTGGTCAGATGGTGTGGAAGTCTTTCGTGACTTTATGAGGTCAGAGTTCAATAAGGAAAACCTGAACTTCTGGTTGGCTGTGGAGAAGTTTAAGAGGACAAACTCCCTCAGTAAGATGGCCACTCAATCTCGGAAGATCTATGACCAGTTCCTATCTCCATATGCAGCGCGACAGGTGAGGCTTTCTGTCTGCATCTCTTCTGATTGGGCCATTAAATGGCCAGGTGACTCAACTCTTCCATCTCCAGGTCAGACTCCACCAATCACAGCCTTAGTTTGGGTGTTGACCCCGCCTCCTTCCAGCGGGCGCAGGATCAGGTCTTCAGCCTGATGGAGGCCAGACAGTTACCCACGATTCCTCAAGTCCCACCTCTACGCTCAGCTGGCCAATCACATCGCAGGCACAGCAGTGGAGCTGCCCAATCAGACTAATCAGTCTGTGATTGACTAGCCAGATGCATCATGGGACCTACAGTTCAGAGATTCTGATTAATACTAAATATTTTAGTGCGTCCTCTCTCACAAAACATTGCAAGTTTTTATCAAATATTTATAAAACTGTAGATTAATCTCCTTCCTTTCTGTCACTGATCAGGGGCCTCATGGGTTTTTTTCCAAGTTTTTTTTACTGTTATTTAACACTTAACAATTGTACAAGATCACGTGGCATGTACATTCCTGGAGAAATCGAGTCTTACAGGCTTAAAGCACACATATTATTATAAGACAACAATAAAAAGTTAAATTAGAAATAAATCAAATTTGTCAGACATCAAACAGCGAGAAAGTAGAACGACAAAAACAAACAGATAAAGGCAAAGGGGCTTCAGGTCTCAAATCAGTTCAGATCATTATCGGGTCAGAGCTGCATTCCCTGCTTGTTTTCATCAGTTTTAAGGTCCTGAAGCGGTTCTCCATCAAAAGGTTTTTAAAAGCTGAAAAGTCAGCTTTTCTATTCCTCATTTACAGCAGAGGATGAAGAATTTGGCGAAGATCAGCAGGTTGTTCAGAATGATGTCGGTTCTTCTGTCTCTGGTGGGTCCAAATATTATATTCTCTCCTTTTAAGGGATGATGTAAGGAAAGTTTTGGTGAGATCCAGGCCTGAAAGTTTCTCCAAAATGTTCCAGTTTGCACACAATAGAAGAGATGATCTGTTGTTTCAATGTTGTTGTCACAGAAGGTCCAGCTGTTGGTATCAAAGTTGAATCTTTTTCTTCATAGTTCCCTGGAGAGTTTGTAATAGGAATGTTGCCAATGGAGAGGTGATGGAAGAAATAATGGACAGAAAACAATTGGTTTGCATCAATAATGGAGAAGGGACGAGGATTAATATTAGAAATGGATATGAATCAGCATTAGATTTAACTTTAGTTTCAGAGAATTTTGCCAGGATTAGTAATTGGAAAATATTAAGAGAATCAACTATAGGAAGTGATCATCATCCTATACTTATTGAAATTGGTCTGGACATGAGAAACATTGATCATGAAAGCATAGAAAGATGAATGTTTGGAAATGTTGATTGGGAAAAATATAAAATAATAAGTGATGAAGAAATCCAAAAGGTTAATATAGATTTGGATGTTGATAATGTAAATTGTTCCATTTGTGAAGCCATTTTAGGTGAACCAATCCAAAGGAAAAGAGGAAAATATCTTAAAAATATAGCAGCGTGGTGGACAAAGGAATGTGATGTTGCAATGAAATCTTGAAATAAAGCTTTTAAATTGTTAAAAAGAAATCAGAATTTTCAGCATTTTATTGAATATAAAATGTTACAAGGTCTTGTTAAAAGAACTGTGAAAAAAATATTTATTGGGGAAACTTGTGATTCGGTCGGTAGGGAAACAAAAATGTCAAAAGGAGAATGGAGAATGATAAAGCGAATAGAAGTGAATATGGATATCCAGTTCTGAAAGATGGAAATATTATTGCTGTGATGGAGAAGAAGACAAACATGCTGGTTAAAACATTTGCTAAAGTTCATAGCTGTAATAATTTAAATAATGAAGAATATCGTAGAAAAGTTTGTACAATTAATGATAATGTTGATTTATTAGAAGAAAATGTTAGATATAATGACTTATTAAATGCTTCTTTTCTTTATTTGAATTAAATAATGCTATAAGAAAATCTAAAAATTAATCTCCAGGAAAAGATAACATTAAGTATATTATGGATAACAAGCTTAGTAATTCAGCTAAGAAGGTTTTATTGGAATTAGATAAGATATGGGATTTTTACCTGTGGCATGGAAAGAAGCAATTGTAGTTCTAATCTTAAAGCCAGTTAAAGAGCAGTCAAATCCAGCAAGTTATAGACCTATTGCTTCAACTTCACATTTAGATAAAATAATGGAGAGAATGATAAATGAAAGATTGAGCTACTTGGTTGAAAAAAAGGAATATTTATCAAAATGTCAAAGTGGATTTAGAAAAGGTAGGAGAATTAAGGATTCTATTTTATGTTTAGAACATGAAATCAGAAAAGGGCAAGTTAATAAAAGGAGGGTATGGAGGCTGTTTTCTTTGATATAGAGAAAGTTTATGATATGATGTTGAAGGAAAGTTTTTTAATTAAATTGAAAAAAAAGGGAATTAGTGGATCAATGTTTCATTGGATGAAATATTGTTTTACAAGACAGATCAGTAAGAATAGGACAACAATTGTCAGAAAGGTTTTTTGTTGAGGATGGTACACCTCAGGGAAGT